AGCAAACGGCAACGGCAAACGCATCGTTGGCAAATTCAATTTGGCAGCTTAAGTAATGGCCAAGAGCAAACAACAACAATACCAACTACAACTCGAGAAATTATCCATAATAATCAGCAGCAACAGTAGCAAAACAACATCAACGGAATGACAATCATTGCTGCTTAATCGTGACAAGTTTGTCATCATTATCATTATGTTGAATTATCATTATGTTGAATTTTGTAACATATATTGGTATATAACCCGACAATCTTTTTCTCTATCTCCCTCTCTGCCGCTCACTCTCTCTTCTTCTTTCTCTCATTTTTGTCACGAATTTAGTATTCACGCAAAGGACTTAAATTCCCTGACAGTGTGCATTTGCTGGGAGCTGATTGACCAATCAACGCAACTGATTGACTTACTGACCAACTGATTGACGACTGACTGGCTGCGCTTTATGCATTCGTTTTACGAATGCAATATTTTCAATTTCATTTTTTATGCAACAAAGTTAATTGAAATTTTGATAGCAGCATAATCCGTATTTCAATCGGTATTATCTCTCTTAAACTTCCATCGGGCGACAATGGTTTTATTGCTCAATTGTTTATCAGCAAGCTATACATTTATTTATTGATTTAACTTTATAAATTAAGAACTTTTAATTTAATTGAATTTAAAATCATCGATTAGTCGCCTGCAGGTATGCAACGAAATCATCAAAGCATGTTCGAGGGACATATCTCCAAACCAAAAAAAAAAACCAAGAAAAGCTGAAATATGGCCGCAAAGTATGCAATAATAAATTGAGCCATTGTCACTGCTGCTGCTGTGGATGGCTTGCTGAAGGAGGCTGTGCAGTGGGTGCCTGGTTGTGTGGCTGTCTTTGCCACTTGGCGAGCACGTAATGAGCATATTTGTAGCATACTTTCGGCGCGTACGTGTGTGAGTATGTGTGTGTGTGTGTGTGTGTTTGTGTGTGTGTGCGTTGTATTTGTGCGATAGTCCTTTGAGGCCAAGTTTATGCAAGTTATTTCTTGTTCTACACTACACCCAATACCCTATACCCTGCATCCTACACCCTACTCCCTACTCCATCCTATATCAACTAACCCACCTTTCAAGTTGGGCGCCAAACTTTTGCAGCTCATACATATGTATACCTATACCTATATATATATATATATACTCGTATATGTCTCTGTGTGTGTATATATACATTGACACAGGTGCCCAGAGGCATTCGCGAGGTGTGCTGCGCTTGGGCGTGGCACTTGGCGTTGTGGGGGTGTGATTTTGGGGGGTGGGAGGAGCTGTGAAGACCCGAGAGCCACTGCTTTGTTTGTTGTATCTGCATTTAATGCTACAAATGGCAATGCCTGGCGATAAACCACAAACAGAACTCAAGCAGCTGGCAACGCCCAAAAACTTGCGTTGTATTATATACCCTGTAATTAACGAAGTGCATGGCTTTGTAGGTCTCCCTAAGTATACTATCCTGCTGCCTTAAGCTATCGATAACTGCCCAGTGAGTGCATCTATTATCCTGAAAATGCCTCACAATATGCTTAACTATTTCGTTTATTATTATTCGCTTTTTGAATTCACCAAAATTTATTGATTTTCATTTGGCACCGCAAAGGTTCACAGTGCCCGTATTACTAAAACTCTATTTTGCAATGCTTACAGTCACAATTAAGAAAAGACAAATAAGTGAATAATTTTCATAAAACTATGTAATTATTAAACAATAATTAAGAAAAAAAGATGCGACTCTGTATATTAAAACCATCGTTAAATAAATACGACATTCATTGATCTTTTTCAATACTTTCATAAAAAGGAAAAAGTTATTTAAAGATATGTTTAGCTTGATTACTTTGCAAACTGCTGTTTAAACTCGGAAACTGAAACTCTGGCATCAACTCGTTATTGAGCTATCCGTAACTTGAGTTGCAAAGTTTTCCTATCTCTGAATTTGATCTTAGTGAATCGCGACCTTGTTTTCCTTTTTATTTTCTTTATTTATTTATTTATTTTTATTTTTTTTTCTTAGGGTTATTTTTGGTAAAGTTCAAAAGCGCAAAGAGCGTCAATTCATAAAACGTTCGGTGGGCGTGAAAGTATTTTGACATACGTTGGGAATTCATATCCGCTTTACACACACACACACACACACACAACAACAACAAAAAAAACACACACACACACAGAGAAACTCGCGTACCTCTACTGACATCGGCTCTAACGAGCTTCAAGTTTAACAATGAGCGAACATTTTGCAGCTCATTGAATTTGAAGTCATGTGAACTCGACACACACACACATGCTTACGCTTACAACTCCTATACACACACACACATACATGTACATACTCACTCACAGGCAATCTGTCAGTAAAAAGTTTATTTATATTTTTTTCTTCATTTTTTGTGGAGGTATGGGGAGGGGGGCGAGGGAGAGGTGGTTGCTTCAAGAGGCGTGACAATTGCATTGCAAAGTACAATGTTGAGTGCCTGTCAAATAAAAGTGTGAAAAAAAAATGAAGAAAAAATGCAAAAATCTCATTTGACATATGCACAATAAATTGCCGACCCAATTGGACAAATCGTAAAGCTGTTGAATTCCATTGATTGTCTATGTGAGTTCGTGTGTGTGTGTGCGATGTGTGTATATATGTGTGTGTGTGTGTGTGTGCCATGTGTGTGCGTTGCTTGTATGTATCTACTGCTAATTGACTAGCAGAGCGCTGTGTTTACGCTTCTGCAATTCCTCATAACGAATTTACACATCTCCTATGAACTGCACAGCTAGATATTAAAGAGAGTTCCTCATTTCTCGTACTTGCCCTAAAGCTAAAGCTTCTGACTTGATATGTATGTGTCTATCTGTGTGTGCCTGTGTGTCTGTGTGTGCCTGTGTGTCTGTGTGTGTGTTGTGGCGTTGTTGCATAGACTGTTTTGCTATTCAACAACGCAGTTGAGCTTTTCTCTATACTTACGCTTTCTCTGTGGGGGTGACTATTTCTCACTACCTGGAATATGATACTAATTTGTGTTACAAGCTGCACACCCACCCACACACAAACACACACACACACACTGTGGGTGCATTGTTACAAAGAACAATGCCTTCAGATGCAGGGGATGAAACCCTTCCAATTTGCAATGTGCCATTGACTTTGCCATTGCCATTGGCAATGCCAAAGTCATATCCAATAACGCAACCGTCTAACTAATGTAATTATTATTGTTTGCAGAATGTTTCTTCTTGGAATTTATTGTTGTTGTTCATCTTCTGGTTTCTGTTTCTCTTGCTCTTCCTCTTCCTTTTGCTCTGTGTCCTCTTGCATTGTGTTCGCTTCGAGCGATGCAAATATTGTACGACTCTTTGTCCTGTGTATTTGTGCATCTGTGTGGCATCTGGCACACTGCATTTGTCTAACAATGGCTCCGGCTTGGATATCCGGAGATGAATTTTTGACTAAACAGGAAATTAATGCTGTAATATTTGTATAGTTTTGGAAGCGCTTGGTTTGTCATGACTTGTGCAAAGCAAGCACAAAGCTATATGAAGCAGTCATAAATTGTGAAATTAATTAATTGATTCATAAATTATTATATAAGTTTTCGTTTATAAAGTCCATTTAGCCAAATTCTATTATGCTCCCAGCAAACGGATTGATCACATTGTTCAAGCCAGTGCATTTGAAATTGATGTATGCAATGTTTTCACTCTACACTCAAGGATAAGACAAAATTAAGCATTGAACCGATATGCAATTATATCCCTTGCTAATTACCTTGAATATATTAATAACTGGCATGCATTGAATATCCCTTTGTATGTACCGCATACCATTAATCAATTACAATTCGAAGAAATAATAATAATATGAGCAGAAATACCTTTGCTCTGTTTGAAGTAATTTCGGTTTCCATAGAAATATCCAGACCCTCGCTACTATTTGAAAATAATGCTCTCCGCCGTGCATTCAGCTTAAAGTAAATTTTCATATTTTCAAATTTCCAACGAAATGAAGACGCATTCAGCTAATTATATTTTGAGAACTCAACAACAATATTGGCGCCTTGAAGAATGCAACATGCATTTTGCACCGGGGCAACCCACACATGCAGTCACACATACACACACACACACACACACACACATCACATCTGAATATTATTGTTGGCACGTGAGCCAAAAGCATTTTGTATGCAATTTTCAATTTCATTTGGATTTTAACAATGCCTGTGACTGTCTATTGTTCTGTTTAAGTCCTTGGTTATCCAATGGGATTTTAATGTACAATGTAAAAAGTTGCGTTAATTATACTGCATGATGATTTCCTCCATGGTTCATTTGGAAACTTGAACTAATTCATTATGATATTTTTTATAAATTCACATATTTTGAAGAGCAACATTTACAATTAGTTGCATCTATGAGTACAGGGTGTCTTATTGTCTTTGAGGTCGCTTCGTGTTCACAGAGTTGTCTTGTCTCTTTTCATTTCTTCCTTTTGTTTTAGCTATTATATAAATTGAAGACATTATCTATTTATATATTATATATTTGATTATATATTTTTACTTTACAGTAACAACAACACCAAACCAAATACGTTTAAAACTTAAACTACAACGAAACATTATTTTTTATAGAACAGAAGAATTGTAATCGAACAGAATTTTGCAACACAAAGAAACAAAGAACACAATGTGATCAACTGAAGTAAAACAAATTTGTCTTAAATACCATTTAACCGTTGTCTAACACTCAGTTAGCTCGTTGTGAGTAACATGTGTCTGAGTTGCCAAACCGAAACCAAATCCGTAACCGTAACAACAAAACACCAAAAAACCAAAAACGCCAAAACAACAATTCCAATAGCACCGACAAACAACAATTAACAAAACAAAAAAGAAAAGAACTAAATACCGATACACCGATTAACCCAAAAAAAAAAAAACGCAATACTAAAATACAAAAGAAATAAACATACATATATATAAATATATATATATACATTTATATGTATATAGCAATAAACCGTAAATAGATGTCCATATATGCTTTGCAATATAGCTATATAGCCGCAAACACAAACATAGACTTTAACGACAACTATATACACTTATAATGACCAAGAAGTACGAATTCGATTGGATCATTCCGGTACCACCGGAACTGACAACTGGCGCCACCTTCGATCGCTGGTTCGAGAACGAGAAGGAGACCAAAGAGAATGATTTCGAGCGAGATGCGCTCTTCAAGGTCGATGAGTATGGATTCTTTCTCTATTGGAAGAGTGAGGGACGGGTATGTATGACGAGCAGACTAACAACCATACACCTACACCTAAACACTATATATACAAATATTCAATGTATATACACACATACATACATATATCATTTCAACTCGTTCCGTTTCATTCAGGATGGCGATGTTATCGAGCTGTGTCAAGTGAGCGATATTCGTGCAGGCGGCACTCCAAAGGTGAGTTATCATTAATAGAGATACATATATAGTTGGCAGTCAGGATAATATTGGCGATGACAATTGCAATATAATAACTATAACAGCAACAATCAGACAGTCAGTAATAGCAAAGATAGCAACAACTGTATTCCAGGAGTCATTAAAAATGCTTTTAATCTGAGAGAATGCCGAACTTTATCAAGAATATATACAGTTTATGGAGTTGCACTTGCCTCTTTCTGCCTTTTACCAACAGTTACCTTCAACTTCATGATACCATTTTTACCAAATTTTAAAATAATTCGCATAGAAGAAGAAATCAAATTAGATGTTGAACTGATGTAAGCAAAGCGAATTGCAACTTTTAACACACACAATTAGCTGATTGAGGAAATGTCAGCATTATATAATCCTGACAAAGAGCTTCGAGTGCCACAATTATATCCAATTTAATGCAATTTTCAAATTAAAAAGTTGTCCTAATGACAAACTGTCACATAGCGGATACTTTGTTGCACGGGCTTAATCATCATTCATAGTACATATATATATATATAAATAGAGATATAGTATTAAACACAATATGACACACACACACCGTAGAGAGAGTCAATTAAGTTGCAACTCGCTTGTCCATTTAGGTAGACAGGATATACACATTGATGTGCATTAACCCACATCCTGCACCTGGGCACACATCCATACACCTTCCTCGCCCCTCAGCCAAGGGCGTGTCAGTGAAGAGCCGGATGGGTGCCTATCAATATCGGTGAGGATGGTGTAGTTGAAATGGGGATTGGTGATTGAACAGGTGCTGACACAATTACAATGTGTGTCGAAGCGAACAGCAAATCTCAATTAGGCGCAATGGCACCACTGCGCCACTGGAACACCGCCGCACTTCCTTCATGTTCTGTATATCCTGTACCCACTGAATATGTGTAGTATGTTAAATATGTCTATCTAATGGACTTAAGCTCTTTATGCTATTGTGCTAAACAAAATAAAGCCTTGCAAATCCCTAATAAATATTTATTGTCAGCAAATCTAGAAACAAGTTGTCATATTTTAAAAGTAGAGTAAATCTATAAACGTTTACCTTTTTCTCTAAGCGTATAGCCGCAGGGCACGCCCTTTTGCCCAGCGCTGGGGCAAATTGACTTTGAAGTGGGCAGTGGAAGGGGCAGGACAGGGCTGGGCAAAGCAAGGAAGGGCAGGACTTAAGTGCACACCGCGAACTGAAGCCCATAAATTGCATTTAGTAGCAACAGCGACAACAAATACTCAATGCAAAGTTTCATGCCAGCATGTGGGCGTGGCACAGCCTCAACCCTTGGCCAATAAATCTAGCTCACGTGGACAAATGCGTACAAGTGGCGCGCATCGCCTGTCGAAACAATTGAGAGTCAAACTGACACATTGACACGTTAACTGACAAACACCCCAACACACACCCACACACACCCACACAAACCCACACACACACACACACACACATGAGAGCTCTTACACAGTTAAATGCGCTCAGAGAATCCTATAAAGCGGATTGAATCAGGACAATGAAGTGGTTGATAGCCAGGCCAAGCAGCCTGCCTCTGAATATTCCTAACAGCTCAAGCAAATAATTGGGAATTAACTACAAACTAAAGCTACATTTTCAAGACATTCACTGGAGTTGTAAAGATTTTGATTTAACACTTTATTTTTACACAAAAATCATTAAGAAACTTTGAATCAAGTGCTAACAACGATAGATCTGATTACTGCTATAATAACTTGCTTCTGACTTGCTATTTTCGCTCAGTGCACAATGCGCAGAGTATGCAAAATATAATAACGAGGGCTGCGCATCGTTGCACTTGCAAATTGAAAAGTGTCAAAGATTTTGCAATTCACAATGTACGTTTAAGTCCTCCATCAAAATGAGTGAAAGTGAGTGAAGAGTGAAGAGTGAAGAGACAGGCGAGAAGCAATCCAACACCACACAAATATAGAGTGCGAAAGGAATAGAAAGATGGTAAATAGTCTGTTGTGTAGCACTTAGTTTTTGGGCATCTCTCAAACAGTTGCTCTTCCAGTGCCCAATACCTGTGCCTCCACTTGACAAATCCCCAAAACGCCAGTCAAGTGGAACATTTTGATGCTGCTTTGCTTCAAGTGCTCAAGTTCGGGGTCCTTCACTTAAAGCCCTTCCAGCGGGCTGCAATCCTTTTTGTCCAAAACATACACACACACACACAAACACGCACATACACACAGACACACACACATACACAAACACCGACACTCAATCCAAGCCGTTTTCATGTCAGCTGCCAAATAAATTCAATTAAAATGCAAAATAAATGGCAATGAGAAGAAAAGCAAAAGGAGGAGTGAATGAAAGTGTGTGTGTGTGTGTGTGTGTGTGTGTGTGTGTGTGTGTGTGTGTGTTTGTGTGAGTGAAAATGTGGGCAACAAGAAGAAGAATGGAAGGCATCAGCAGGCAAGCAGCAGAAGCCGCATGAAATTTGTATAATGGCCACAAAGAAAAATATGTATTCAAGAAAAATAAAAATAAGAATACAACAAAGAAAAACCAAAACAACAATATATATACCCTTATATAAATTATATAGCAAAGAGCATGCAAAACTTTTCACCACTACGCAAATTTGGCCGCAAACCTAAAAGCTAAAAAAAAAAAGTTAAGAAAAAAAAACCCAGCGAAGAAAAAATAAACAAAATAATACAAAATGCAAAACTTTTGCTTTGTGTGCTTGTGCTTCTATGTGTGTGTGCGTGTGCAAGTGTGTGTAAGCGAGTGACAGGCACTCATATAAGTATACACACACACACACACATGTACCTAAATACATATTTATATAGGTAGAATACAGTTATGCACATTTGAACCGCTTGCAGCTGCATGCGAGCGAGAGTGGTTCAAAAAGTGTCCGATATCTAAGAAAGGATATTCATAATAGTTGCAATATTATTGTTAATACATTTCTATATGCTCATTTATTTTCATTCATTTTTATCTTCGAATTGAATTTTTGTTAAACTAAAATCGCATTATTTAAAATAACATTTTTGTTTTTAATACAAACACATTTATATCCATAGAGTATTCAATATATTTTGAAGAATTTTTAAGTTACCCTCTTCAAATCGTAAATGGAAGTACTTATATACTTTTAGTTCTTTGTATGTGTGTGTGTGTGTGTGAGTGTGTGTGAGTGTATAAGTGTGTACGTGTATCTAGACAGCACTTGAACTGTTTGGTCATCAATATTAAATCAGTCAGCCACACAGACCAACAAATAAACATATATATACACACACACACACACATACACACCCAAGCATGTTCACTCACACTCACACACACACCTAAACATGCACACTCAAAAAGGAACTTGTAAGTGCTAGGCGCACAATGAACCATTAAAAGCTGCTTCGTTTGGCAAAGCAAAAGTCAAAGGAATCAGAATGTGAAGGGGAATAGGTCGCAACTATAGATACCCTATAACAACATTAGGCATTGAGGTAACTAATTAAGTAATATATGTGTATGTAAAGCAGAATTCGTTCAAAAGGCCACTCAATAGAATATCAAATTGTGTTTATTTATTCCGCATTAGAGTTTTAAGTCTTGTGAAGGCCACGCAGATGAAGAATTGCAAACAGCAAGTCGGGTTAAACTTTTGCATAAGTCGATCAACTGCTGTGTGTGCTTACTGTTCCAGTTGTGTGTTGCCTGATTGTGTTACGGCATTTCGATAAGTAAACTGCCAACAAATATTGAAAACGCCAAATGTGAACTTCGTTGCAGTTTTCGTTGTTGTTGCTGCTCTTCAATAATGCACGAAGCTTTATTGCTGACGTCGTCTGTATGTATGTATATATCTAGGTATGTATCTATGTATGTATGTATATACAACAATAAAAGAAGAAGCCAGCGACAAGAACGCAAACCCATTTGTCCAACACATTTACTGCTGTGTGTGTTTGTGTGTGTGTGTGTGTGTGTGTGTGTGTGGATCTGGCGCCTGGAAGCAGGCAACGCTTTCCGTTTATTTATTCGCTGACTTATTTAGCACTTGAAAGTATGCAATATCAGTTGGTTTAAGCTCCCGCAGAGTACAGCAACTGTATTCGATATACAAATTGCACTCGATTTGATTGCCATTCAATTTCAATTGCCGTTCCAAATGCGAATGCGGCCTTTGAGTTTGATTTGATTGCGACTACGACTGCGACTGCGTTCGCATCCGCGGCTGCGACTGCGACTGCGACTGCGACTGTGGCCGAACTGCTTTCCATTGTATTCTAGCAATGCAATGCAATGCAATGGCAGCACGGCAGCTAACAAAGAGCCCCATTTGCACAACTATTAACTATTGTTTGCTGGCAACAATAACAATAACTGTGCTTACATATGCATGCTGTATATCGCAATAACAAAGAGTCAAACAGCTGCCGGGGCGATATTTATCTTTAATTCATAGTTTAACTAGCAATTACACAAATAATTTGTAGCAGCCATCTAATTAGTTATGAATTCGATTCAAATTGTATAATCTTAACATGATTTTTTTCTTTACCAATAATTCCAATAGGATTAACAACGGTTTTCGAAATCGGCTCAGACTTGATTAATTAATTAATTATTAATTAATTTTAACCAAAAATTGTGTTTAATCAAGACATCAAACAATGATTTCGTGTTGCATCAATTTTTATTTTAAAACTGAGCCTCGTCCGCCAGGATATTCGCTTGTCAAACTATTTTTGGGGTTTTCTTGAAATTAAGGCATTAATTTAACAGTAAATTTGCGTCAATTTGCTGATAGTTGCCGCATTGGAATTCGAAATATTTATTTATACGCTCGAGTCATGCGGCATTTGAAGGTCGAATGCGAAATGAAATGCTATATTGTTATTGGAATTTCGCAGCAAGATTTATATATTTTTAATTCAATGTACAAATGTTGATAAATGCTTCTGAAATAGCCATCAGCCACACACCCCAACTAACAACAAACAAAAGACTACTCGAAAAAAATAACACCATACCCCTTCACCCCTTCTCCTTCACCCTTCCCCACATCCCACACCCCACATGACATTTCCTTTGTTCCTGCCTTGATTAATGATGCAAGCCGAGATAAATGTTACGGCTTCTGCTGTTGCTGCCACGCCAAATTGCAGTTGCCTCAAAAACTTTATTTCCACTCCACCCACCGCTCTTTTACCACTACGCCCTATCTTCCCCCCATTGCCCTTGGCTATGATTGGAAATGCGTTAAGCGTAAAATTCGTAATGGGTCCACGGTTCGTATGCTTAACATTTGACTTCAACAACTTTCTGTGAAAGGTCTTTATAATCATAGAAAAACAACATTTTTATTTGAAAAGTGCAGTTAAAATAGATTAAGAAAAAAATATATGTATATTTAAAATGGATTTTGTTTTTCGTACAGTTTGTTGATCGTAGAACAAATTAAACACCTCAAAATACTACAGAAATAAAAATGTATCGAAATGCGCTTATCCAATGCCAATGTCAATGATTTGAACATTTAATTGTTTACAATACTAATGTAAAAACAGATGATATATTGCGCCATTGAACTTACATAATAAACATATAAACAAACTTGTGCTCATTAATAGGATCCGAAGATATTGGATAAGGTAACCAAAAAGAATGGCACGAATATACCAGAATTGGATAAACGCTCGCTGACCATCTGCTCGAACACGGACTATATCAATATAACATATCATCATGTTATTTGCCCAGATGCGGCAACAGCCAAGGTGAGTGAGCCAATTATGATTTGAAAATGATCATTTGAGCATTTGAAAAGGACGGGGATATTGGAGTACAACATACTGGGAATTACAACAAACTCATCATTGAATCATCATGCATTCATCATGCACACTCTCTGTACTTATAGATCTGGCTAGATGGCATACGAAAAATAACCCATAATGTCAAAGCGAATAATATCTGTCCCATGATGTGTCTGAGAAAACAGTAAGTGAACTCCATAGCAGTTCCCACAAATTTCTATAGACGCACTTTATGTTCTCTGTTCTATAATTGTGGATTAAGGATGAAAAACAAAAAACAAAAAACAATACACTATTTTATTGTCATCTATGCGGCTTCACAGCACGATGAGCCGTTGCTTTACCTACATACATACATATATTATATGTATAAATATATATATACAATATACATATATCTATATACATAAATATCATCTATCAGAATTCATTAACATCTCTAAATCCCACTAAAAGGGGAGGGGCTGAACATAATTTCTTTCGATTTTATATTCATTTTGTTTTCTAATTTGCATGTCTTACGCATTATTTTCGTTCTTATCGTTGTTGTTATTGTGTTATCGTTATCGTTATCGTGTTGTCGTTGTCGTTATCGTTATCGTTATAAACAGAGCTGGCAAAAAATGTTGCGCCAAATAACTCATAACAATCGCGCCACGAACGTGTGTCCACGCACCAATCTTATGAAACAGTAAGTACCCGATTACATAATCAAATATTAACCCACGGTAACTAACATATATACTACAAATACATGTATCAACGATTATAACTTTGTTTGGGTAAGTATATCTTTGGAAAATGTAGATAAGTCGGATAAACAAAATAATACATCAATGGCTCTAGAATTCATTTAGATTAATTAAGAATTGGCTTAAAAATCAAGTGGCAGAAAATCAAAAGAAAACAAGTAAAAAAATGTTGTAAAGGAATTTTGCTACATATATGGGGAACCCATCGAAAAACTTGGCTACTTATGAAAATCATGTTTAAGCTTATATGTATTTATAATAATATTTTCGATGTTTCCATTTAAAAACTCTTGCATATATCACGGGAAACGAATTACATTTACTGAAAACAGCAGAACAAAAAGAGTAATCGAAAATAAATAGGCCGTCGATAATAATGCGTATTTAAATCAGAGTAAACAACTAATAAAATCATTGATGACAATTATAGCATTTCATAATAGACTGCATAAGAGCAAATCGATATATATAGATATTTATCTATATATATAAGTATATAAGTATATTCTTTGAGCAGTGCAGAGCAATGCAAATATTGTAAATTGTGTGTATTAATATTGCCTGCGAGTAGTTGCGTAAACAAATCAATTCTGGGCAGGTGGGCAGCGGAAACGGAAACAACATCATCAGTTGCCCCTGCTGCCGCCCTCCCTGCACTCCTCGCTCTGCTGTTTACCACATTCACAACTACACTTGCTGCGAAATAGTTAGCATTGTTTCGACACGAAATGAAATCATTTCATTTGCATTTTCTCTCAGCTGATATTTTTTGAGTATCCCCGCCTACCCACGCACAAAAACATCAACAACAGACGGACAGATAGACAGGCAGACAAACAGCAGCGACTTTAGTTTCCATTATGGAACAACAGCAAATGCAGAAATGAAGCAATTTCCTTCTCGCTATTTACGTCTGATGTTTCTGTTAAGCCAATGTCTTTTCTTGATAAATTACGCCTCAAGAGGAATCGTCTAAGGCTAAGACAGAGATAGAAGTGCGGTGAAGCCAACTGGCATTTGGTTACCACAGCTATTCTCAGTTGTAACAAACAATATGTGTGTAACAAACTTCACAAAAGATGTCAAAATTGCATATAAGAATTGCTTATATGACAGATCTTTGGTGATTTTGCTTCTCGCTTCTCCCATCGAGTCGCTTCTCTCTGTGTTAGAGGCATTTACCTATTCGCTTAAAAAACATAAAATGCGAATCGAGTAGCACAACTAATCAGAATAGGTCTAAGAAACTATAGCCATAATTCAAGCGAGAAGCAAAGGCTTCATTTTTCCTTTCTCCAACGACCAAACTTCACTTCTCTCATCACTTTGCGTTTGATTTCTTCTCGCTTCTACGCCCGACTTTACTGAGCTTTCTTATCACTTATCGGCTGACTCTCTGTGCTTTTCTTATATCTATATATTTTCCATGTTATTCATTTTTATTTTTATCTTATTTTTTTATTTAAATTTGCTTATAAATTGGTTTATTTCGTATTTGTATCTTGCTTACACATTTTGCTTCTCGCTGTCAGCTTTAATCTACACCGAATGATCTATTGAATGCAAATACTGAGTGAGGTGAGCAAATGTGGAACGTGGAAAGTCCCGGAGGCAACAATTACATGTTTGCATTGGCAATTCGTTGACCCAGTTTGGAAATGTGTTTTTTTTTGTTGTGTTTGATTGTTGATTGTATTCTTTATGAGGCATTTTATAGCACAACCTTCTTCGACCATTAACTGCAATTACTTGACCTGGACCTGTTTTTGTTTGAATGGGGTTATTGGACTATGCTTCGCTCTCTTGGCTTCACCAACAACTAAAGCAACAATCAACAAACTGAGCACACAAACAAGTTGAACACGCAAATCCAACACTAAGTAATGAATGTCCAATGAGTGTCCTGAATTGAAAGACAGACACAGTTTGCTGCTGCTGGGGGGGTCATTTGGGGGGTTTGGCTTGTAAGTGGAAACTGACAATCATGGCATGAAAATTTAATTTAATCGCAAGCATTTTTAATGAATTTTTGCCTCTGTTTCAATGTCGCAAATTGTGCACTGCACTTTTCGCCCATATCGATCAATTTGGGGCTTTGGGCAATTAAATGCAAAATTGCAATTGTAAATTAAATATTTATTTTAATTACATTTAAGTTTCCCAATTGCACGCTACTCGCTCGAATTATCATAGAACGCTATTATTTTAATTTAACTTTGCTTTTAGGTCCTTGCTAATTGTCAAATGAATTTTAATTTCAATTCACTTAAACTGCATTTTACATTCAAACAAGTTGCAAAACTCCCAGTGTGTATTTAGTTATTAATTATGCTTCTTTTTTGTATGTATTTTTGTGATGATTATCTAAATATATTCATTATCCTTATTCAATATTATCGTTGCTTTAATTTACATTTATTATTATGATATATTTATTTATTCATTTACTTGATTGTTTATTTAAATTCCCTTTCAACTACACAGATAATTTCACAGTTAGTTATTATTTTTTAAGTTAATTAGTCAATTTCCTCCTCTTTAATTTCAAGGTAAGACTTTCGTGATGTATATTTTTATTAGTTTAACAAATGTGGTGTAATTGTCACATTATTGTTGACGCAATTAATTGAGTGCGTTTTCTTTATCGAATCATTCAAGTTGGATGCGTCTTAGTTACTGTGTGGAGAAGAGTGGCAAAATACCGGTCAAGATTTTGGCCAAAACATTTGCATCTGGCAAAACTGAGAAGCTGGTCTACACTTGCATCAAAGATGCGGGCTTGCCAGATGATAAGAATGCCACCATGACCAAGGAGCAGTTCACTTTCGACAAGTTCTATGCGCTCTACCACAAGGTCTGTCCACGCAATGACATCGAGGAGCTCTTTACATCGATGTAAGTACCGCAACTTAGGGATGAACTCGATTAACAATATTGATTAACCATTTTGATTGATTTCTTAATTGAAAATCTTCAATTTTTAAGATGTGCTGTATAATTTTGATAATACTTAGTTTTTTAAAACTAAATTGATTCACAATTGTTTGTATTGTGTATAAATCGTATCACTGATAGCGATACGATATTTCTAGCAGTGCCTCTATTTTCCACATAATCCTCATAATATTTCTATCTCTTTCTCCCCCGTCTGTCTGTCTCTCTCACTCGGTGTGCAGCACCAAGGGTAAACAGGACTTTATCAATTTGGAGCAGTTCATACAGTTTATGAACGAAAAGCAACGCGATCCCCGCATGAACGAGATTCTTTTTCCGCTGTACGAGGAGAAACGCTGCACAGAGATTGTCAACGACTATGAGCTGGATGAGGAGAAGAAGAAGACCGGTAAGCGAGTGTTGAAATCAAATAAATATATATATATATATAAATATAAATAATCGTTTCTGTTGATTGTTTTTAGGTCAACTCTCGCTGGATGGCTTTAAGCGTTACCTGATGTCCGATGAGAATGCGCCCGTCTTTTTGGATCGACTCGACTTCTACATGGAGATGGATCAGCCGTTGGCTCATTACTATATCAATAGTTCGCATAATACGTATTTGTCGGGTCGCCAGATTGGTGGCAAGAGCTCCGTCGAGATGTACCGTCAAACGTTGCTCGCCGGCTGTCGTTGCGTCGAACTAGATTGCTGGAATGGCAAAGGTGAGGATGAGGAACCAATTGTTACCCACGGTCACGCCTACTGTACGGAAATTTTATTTAAGGTATGTTTAACGCGGATAACAGATTTATATATATATATTTATTATATTATTTTTGTATATTTATATACTTTTTAGGATTGCATTCAGGCCATTGCGGATTGCGCTTTCGTCTCGTCAGAGTATCCGGTAATACTCTCCTTTGAGAACCATTGCAATCGTGCCCAGCAATACAAATTAGCTAAATACTGTGATGACTTCTTTGGCGAGCTACTGCTAAAAGAGCCACTCTCGGATCATCCGGTAAGGCCAACATAAATCTCTCTGCCTATCCTTATAGACATTCTTAATTATTAATAGTTGGATCCGGGTCTACCGTTACCGCCGCCGTGCAAGCTGAAGCGCAAAATTCTCATCAAGAATAAACGCATGAAGCCCGAAGTGGAGAAGGTCGAATTGGAGCTGTGGCTCAAAGGTGAACTGAAAACCGATGACGATCCCGAGGAGGATGCCAGCGCTGGTAAGCCGCCAGAGGCGGCTGCTGCACCAGCACCAGCACCAGAGGCAGCTGCCGCAGAGGGTGCCGCGGAAGGCGGTGGCGGTGCCGAAGCGGAGGCAGCTGCGGCCAACTACAGTGGCTCTACCACAAATGTGCATCCGTGGCTCTCATCGATGGTCAATTATGCGCAGCCCATTAAATTCCAGGGCTTCGACAAGGCAATTGGTAAATGATCCATTTTATGTTTACCCAAAGTTCAAAACATATATCGCATTCTGTAGAAGATAGTAGTGAGAAAGTAAAAAGTGAAATGAGTGGAATACAAATATAGCAGATGCAATGACTCTAAAAGAATAATATACTCGTTGGGCATGGCATATAAGTAATAATATAAGTATAGATCACTTTTGGTCACATGTACACATATAGAGCCATTGTGCTTTCACGCAATAGCTGTCTATGTGGATATTGGAGTAGATAGAAATATTCACAGAAATATTTCAATGTAAAGCTAAATGTTTATAATATTTGTACAATTTGTATTATATATTAACAGAAAAGAACATTGCCCACAATATGTCGTCGTTTGCTGAATCGGCCGGTATGAATTATTTGAAGCAGAGCTCCATTGATTTCGTCAATTACAACAAGCGTCAAATGTCACGCATCTATCCGAAGGGCACCCGAGCCGATTCCTCGAATTATATGCCGCAGGTATTCTGGAATGCCGGCTGCCAAATGGTCTCACTCAATTTCCAGACCTCCGATCTGCCCATGCAGCTTAATCAGGGCAAATTCGAATATAATGGCGGCTGTGGCTATCTCCTCAAACCGGATTTTATGCGACGTGCCGACAAGGATTTCGATCCATTTGCTGATGCTCCAGTCGATGGTGTTATTGCGGCCCAATGCTCCGTCAAGGTTATTGCCGGTCAGTTTTTGTCCGATAAGAAAGTGGGCACCTATGTTGAGGTGGACATGTTTGGTCTGCCCTCCGATACGGTGAAAAAGGAGTTTCGCACCCGTTTGGTGCCCAACAATGGCCTCAATCCCGTCTACAATGAGGATGCATTCGTCTTTCGCAAGGTCGTGCTACCCGATCTGGCCGTACTCCGTTTTGGCGTCTATGAGGAGAGTGGCAAGATGATTGGCCAACGCATTCTACCGCTGGACGGCCTACAGCCTGGCTACCGTCATGTCTCCCTGCGCACGGAGGCCAATTTTCCGATGTCATTGCCCATGTTGTTTGTGAACATCGAATTGAAAATTTATGTACCTGATGGCTTTGAGGATTTCATGGCCATGCTGTCGGATCCGCGCGGCTTTGCTGGCGCCGCCAAGCAGCAGAATGAACAAATGAAGGCCTTGGGCATTGAAGAGCAGAGTGGCGGTGCTGCGCGTGATGCCGGCAAAGCCAAGGAGGAGGAGAAAAAGGAGCCGCCCCTTGTTTTTGAGCCGGTCACCTTGGAATCGTTGCGTCAGGAGAAGGGCTTCCAGAAGGTCGGCAAGAAGCAGATCAAGGAGCTGGACACGTTGCGCAAGAAGCATGCCAAGGAGCGCACCTCGGTGCAGAAGACCCAAAATGCGGCCATCGATAAGCTGATCAAGGGCAAGAGCAAAGATGATATACGCAACGATGCGAACATAAAGAATGCGATCAACGATCAAACCAAGCAGTGGACCGATATGATTGCTCGCCACCGCAAGGAAGAATGGGATATGTTGCGCCAGCATGTCCAGGACTCACAGGATGCCATGAAGGCGCTCATGTTAACCGTGCAGGCGGCCCAGATCAAACAGCTCGAGGATCGTCATGCCAGGTAAGGCTCAACACCATCCCTGCTATATATCTAATAAGGGATCTTCCACCCTTCCACCCCCCACAGAGATGTTAAAGAGCTAAATACCAAGCAGGCAAAGACCTCCGCCGACACCGCAAAAGAGGTGCAAAATGACAAGACTCTGAAGACCAAGAACGAGAAGGATCGTCGCTTGCGCGAGAAGCGTCAAAACAATGTCAAACGTTTTATGGAGGAGAAAAAGGTGCGATATTTTAACCATATAATATATATTATAAATATTATAGAGAAATATAATATTTATATTTATTGATATGCAATACTAATTAGTATCATTATATCGTTATTCACAGCAAATCGGCGTTAAACAGGGTCGCGCCATGGAGAAATTGAAATTGGCCCATGCGAAACAAGTTGAGGAATTTAGTACCGATGTGCAAAAGGTACTAAATGAAATACGGCCGCAAACCGACACTATAACCAGTATTGAGACTGTACTTTAGACAACCAAACAAACCGATACCAAAAATACCAGCTGTTAACTGTTAACTGTTGAACCGTTAACCGTTAGCTGTCAACCGATGAAACGTATCAATATCCATGTGCTAGTTAATAGTAGCTGAGTAGCAAAGAGTTCAGTTACCAGTAACCAGTAACCAGTAACGAGTAACCCGTAACGAGTAACGAGTAACCAGTGGAAGCCAGTACCGAGGGAAGAGTACTTTTCTTCCAAAAAGAATAACACACACACGCCCAGTGTTTTCTAGTCGGTGCAAAAAAAAAAAAAAAAAAAAAAAAAAAAAAACAAAGGAAAAGAAAACAATTTTAGTTTGAACGAAACCTTTGGCAAAACAAGCTAAAACAAAATAATAATAATACACAAAACCCAATAATCGAAAATTTATTGAGAAAGTAATGTGTAGCTGCTAAATTTTAACTAACTGCTAAGATGTAATTATCTATATCAATTTTATTCTATATGTATATATAGATTATTATTCTTATTTGCTAACATTGTATCCTATTTTTATCTATCTTATAGTACCCAATCGAACTTTTGTCGTTTTTAATGGGTCACAAATGTCACTTCTTCGTTTTAATGTAATATTCACCAAAAGTTTGCTCTCGTTGCCAAACATGCTTTTTATCAATCATTTTTGTTGTTCATTTTCTTGGTGTTTTGAATCTCTATGTTTTGTTTTTCATTTTGTAATTACCACCAATTACCAATGTTTTTCTGTTTCCAATCTAAAATCTAGTACAGTACTTGGCAGTTAACATGAACCCCAGCAAAAGCAGCTCAACTTTATAAAAATACAATATATGTACTATTTGCTCTTTAACTACTCTAACTCTCTGTCTCTCTCTCTCTCTCGCTCGCTCGCTCGCTTTTATACACCCATTACACGTGCATAGAATTTACATCTTGTATATACGAACATATATGCGATATTTCCAATATATATTTTTTAACATAAACATTTAACATTCACCGCTTTTGCTGTGTGCCCGAACACTCATGTCAAAACTTAACCAAAATCTCGTTTTTCTCTCTCTTTTTTCTCCATTTCTCCCTCTCCCTCTGTCTCTCTTTCTCTCTCTCTCTCTCTCTCTCTTTCTCTTGCATTTACACAAATATCATGCTGCCGCTGTCATCGCACTAAATAATCCTAACCTAACAACAACAATCGACATTAACAGCTAATGGATATGTACAAAATCGAGGAGGAGGCCTATAAGACCCAAGGAAAAACGGAATTTTATGCTTAAGCCACAACAACAAAAACAGCAACATAGCCGAAAAAAAAAAAACAAAATCATTTTCAATGAGATTCTTTTAAGAAACAAAATATCTAGACGTCTTTAAGTGTACGCGTTTACCTTAGAAATTGTATATCTGAAAACTGGAATGAAAAGAAAGTCAACACTTTGTGCTTTATACTTATTTAAGAAGTTGTACCGCGAGAATATCTATGCATAGATATTGCATTCAATTGTTGAATGAACTTTCAAGAAAAGCAAACTATTTATTCAATTTCCAAAAAAAAAAACACTTGGAAAACCACATTTAATTATTTGCTGTAAAACTGCAAATTACTAATCAAGTTATATTTAATTACAAAACAAAAATAAAATTATAGAAAAGGATACAAAACTGAAAGCCCCAATTAAAAAAGGAAATAGCAAAACCCCATTTGGTATTTATGCTTAGACAATGCCATAAGTACCCAAAATTTGTTTTTTTAGTTCTCAAATGCATTGGGCACAGAAATTTAAGCGCATAGCGCTAATGTTTTTCTTTACTATTCGTACTAGTTTTTTTTTTTTTTTTTTTTTTTTTGTACTGTTTATTGAGGGGAGAGAGAACAATTTCAACTACCAACCACAGTATATATAAATTACTTATACGTATGTTTCAAGAAAGAATACTTAAAATATACATATGTGTTTCCGATTTTCCACCTAACAGCTTAGCAAATAAAAACATAAACTAAAAAAACAAAAACAACACAATACTATTACGTATAATAACTGAAACCAAAAACTGACTATCCAACAAAACCAATTATATAATACAAAAATACCCACATACAACAAAAAATGAACATAAATTATATAAGCAAGTGAATAAATAGCATCTGAACTTTTGACAGGCATTATATACACTGAGCTTCTACCGAGCTACCAGTTAAATGTTTGTAAATGAATATTTAAATCGCAGAAAAAACAAACACCAGAAATATAACATAAACCAAAAGCATTTATTTTGAAAATAAATGCGTAAAATCTTCAACAAAAAAAATGCTTATGTTCAGAAAAGAGGAGAAAATAAATATATGTACATCCCATTTACTGCAAAGATAACATCAAAATAAGAAATACCAAATCAATTAAAAATACATGTTAATTGCTGCTAAAAAAAAAAAAAAACAAAACAAAAAAAAAAAATAAAAATAATTAAAATAAAATAAAACAAAACAAAACAGAAAATAAAGAAGACAAAAATAATTGTAAGCGTTTATAAATGTCATAACTCTTTTTAGAATGAGTAATTCAAATGAAACACCCCTACCGGCAGTTATATATACCCCATATATGTAATTTATATGGACCCGATTGCAACAGTACCGTCAATGTATAACTAAGAACAAAACAACAAGTTGTTAAGCTTTATATCGAAAACAAACAAGAAACTAGCGAAGCGTTCAGCTTTTTGTTTTCTTTTGCAGAAAAGGAAAAACACTTTGTTACGTCGCGAATTTTACAAGTCAAGTCAAGTCAAGCCAAAAGATAAAGAAAATGAAAAAGAAGATACCAAAGAAAATATACCGGGTTTATTAATAACGACAGAGAGTCACATATTAAAACAGAATTTAATGCTATTTACTTATAAGTTTTGAGTTGAGTTCATTAGAGTTTGCACTTCTCTTTTATTGCCGTTCTCGTTTCGGTTCTGCATGTATTGTAGATGTTGCAAAAACAAAAAAAAAAACAAAAAAAAAACAAATCAAAACAAAACAAAAAAAAAAAAACCAACGGAAAAATACAAAAAATACTATTTAATAAAATATACAACAACAAAAAGGTTATGCCGAAAAATGAATCTATATTGAAGAAAAAAAAGAACGATTAGAACAATCCAATTACGTTTATTTCACTTGAATGTGCCCTATAAGAGAAAAGAAAAAAATCACAATTATTAACGAAGAAACGGACATTTAGTTAACATCTACCAGGTAATGCTAATAATTTATTAGATAACTGTATGAATGTACTATATAATATACATACATGCGCATATATTTACATATTTAATCAATTATCCTATGATCATGTACTATAAATATAATTTATTTAGAACAATTGCGAACGTTTTATAAATGTGATAAGAACGATATATAAAACAAAAACGAAATCAAAAACATTTGTTTGCAAATGGAACAACATCTAATCGTTGCTGAGATTTCAAATTTTTAGTTCCCCATATCAAAGAATAAATTTGCATGATGTTTGTCTAAGTTGCTGTTGCTCTCCCCCAACCACACCACGCAACCCCACAAAACCCCCAATTTAATATGTTGAATATGCGATATATAAGTTAAAGTACGACGTGTTTGTATTTCATCAAATATATCATTGTGTGCACTTACGAAAAAGAGAAGAAAAATAAAATAAATCAACATCCGTTACCCCTTTGTATTATATGTAATATAATGTGCCAATCCCAACCAAAATCGTGAAAATTGTACAACTACATATATATAAATTGATTTATTTGTTGTATAAATTAGATAGAGGCATAGCCTCTTAGTGGAAAAAGAAATCAAAAAAGAAAAACGTCCTCACTGAAGGCACATACATTTATTTATTTGTCAGGCAACATTTTTTTTTGGGGCGACAATCTTTGCAATTGTATTGGAAACTCTCAATGAAAAGGAATGGAGCAAAAAAGACCAAAAACTCTTTTACCCTCAAATGTTGCCTGTGTGTAGTGAAATGTGTCAATTTTTTGTCATTCATTTTGTTTTTAGTTTAGCGATGAAAATGTTACGAAGTAAACCCACACTAGGGGCCATATTTGATATAGTTTGTACTACAACTACAAATATATTTTGGAGAAAACCCACACTAATTAATATACAATATTGTTTGTCATATAAATACGGGGTAAAAATACCCTGTAGGAGTGTGCAATGCATGCACACAAAATGATGTGTGCATTTTTATTTGTAATTACATATTATTATGCACCCTAAACAAACGAAAGAAAAAACAAAAACAAAATTAAACAGCAAGCAACTGTATAAATATTATTACTACTACATAATTACAATTATATTTTTAAACAAAAAATAATTAAATAAATAAATAAAACGAAAAAAAAGTATATATTTAGAAAATGCTTTAAAGCATAAAGAAACCCATTAAATGAGAGAAGGCAAAGAAACAATGAAAGTAATGAAATTTAACTTCTATTTAACAATGCTGCGTATGAACTTATGATTATATACATACTATATAACTATGTATTACACTATTATTATGATTGTATCATTATTGCTATTATCAATATGATTGCTATTATTTTCACAAAGAATTATTATCATTTATTAATATGTGCACATCGATTGCTCAACCAAAACAAAATATACATGTACACATCCCAATCACAATTTATTTATTTCACGGTAATATATATATATAAATATATATATATATCAAATAAATTAAAAAATAAACGTTCCTATTGTTCACACTTTATTATGTTTTTCATGCTATTCTTTCAGGGTTTTATTTGATCATTTGCGTCGCAAGAAACGAAATTGAAACTCCCTCAATTAATGCAATTATTTTGATCTTAATTCTAGATCTAAAAGCTTGCAAGGCATTCTATTTTTGATTTACCTACAAAAACACAAAACAAAGTATAAACAAAAACTGTAACTATAGGTGTGTGATTCGATTTATTTTCTATATAATAGATATTAACCACTATATTACGAATACTTTAGTTTTAATAAGCATTTTTTGAAAAGCAATTCCCCCACATAAAAAACAAAATCGAAAAACAAACGTACTCACATATGGGGTACATATATATATATATATATATATATGTATGTAAGTATAACTGGATAACAACTGAATGGTATTGATTTGTCTATTTCTTTCTTTGGTTTGTAAATGAAGTATGTATGAATATGTTGTTACTTTCTTCCTGATTTTGTGAACCGCACGAGGGCATAAGAGTTAAGCAAAAAAGAAAAATTAACTAAATCACATATTAAAACAAAACAGCAGAATCTTTGGCTGACAAAAAAGATCAACACAGAAAATAAATTAAAAACTGTAAAAGATATTTATGAAGTTTGGTGTTAAGGTCATAAAAACAGTTGGAAATAAAAATTTTCAGATGAAACCTGGTCTCATTGTGTTTTATTATTTAGTGCAAGAGCTAAGAATTTTTAAAATGCTAATAAGCATTTTTGTTGGACTTGGATAAGTTTGAGAAATAAAAAGAAGTACTTTTCATCAATTTTGAATTTGAAATAAACGTTCAATATGTGCAACGTTAACAGCGAATACGTAATGAACGTAAGAGGCACATAACTTATCGTACACATATGTTAAGCAGCGCATATTTGCGTTGACGACAGCTCAAAGTTGCGTTAACAGCACAGATGTAAGCGCCTTTTGCGTCGACATAACATAGAAAGCACATTATAAAACAACACAAGTTCCAATTGACAAATTGTTGAGTAGATCAAATAAAAACAAACGAAAGGATGAACAGAATTTGCCAAATTCTATTGCGCCCGAGCTATGCCAGCAATTTGGCGATGACAGCAGCAAAAACAACAATGCCACAAGTGCTGGCATCCGCCACACCACGTTGGTACAGCGCAGACACATCTGCTCCGCCACCGGCGGCATTGGACAAAGCCACACTTGACAAACTGGTGCGCACCAACAAGGTGGTCGTATTCATGAAGGGAAATCCACAAGCACCACGCTGCGGCTTCAGTAACGCTGTCGTTCAAATAATGCGCATGCATGGCGTTCAATACGATGCACACGATGTTCTCCAGAACGAGGCACTGCGTCAGGGTAAGTTAGCTACAAAAAAAATGTAGAAAACAAAATTGATAACTGTAGATGCTTAAATCGATTATTTTGGATCTCTTAACCAGGCATTAAGGACTACACCGATTGGCCAACCATACCACAGGTCTTTATCGATGGTGAATTTGTGGGCGGCTGTGATATCCTGCTGCAGTTGCATCAGAGTGGCGATCTAATCGAGGAGCTCAAAAAGGTGGGCATCGTGTCGGAGTTGCTGAAGGCCGAAGAGGCCAAAGACACGGCGAAAAAGTAGGCCAAAAAACAAAATACCTACATATGAGTGGTCTAAACGCTATGTTTTATTATTAAATCTTTAATTAATGAGTTACGTATACAAAGTTGTGTCTCAATGCTCCACTAAGTACTCGTTATCTGCTAAATTGTTATTTTAATTCTCTTGATTACTGCGGCGATGCCTGCGCTCGCTGATAGCACGTTCGCGTTGCTCACGTTCCAGATCGATCTGCTCCAGCACAGTTAGAATTTTAATATGGGCACCCTGAATCAAATCGTCAACCTGCAAAAGCTCGCGGCACTTTTGCTTACTGTCCTCATCTTGCATATTTACTATAATCTGCGTCAGACTGCTTGCAATGGAGTTGCGTATCATGTTGTCCGGAGGCATCGGCTGGGCTCGGCGCCGTCTTCTTTCAGCGGGGCAGGACTGTTCCTGTTGCACCTTCTGCTGCTGTTGCTGCTGCTGCTGCTGCTCGTCGGCCATCTCTTCAGTAATTGTAAGCTGCGTGCAAAACTAAGCTTTCAATTTGTGCCATTTACAGTTGTTCGAAGCAGCTTTTTTTGTGCTTAACCCTTTGATGGTCATTCAATGTCGTTCAAACCAATGTTTGGCTCTTTGTATGACCATATAATTATTGAATACAATGAGAGTTGGTAATTGTTATCTATATGGATATGGCCGAGTTAGAGCGGCCTGTTTGCGCCTAAAAGAATGTCGCAGTTTGCTGCAGTCGTTGCTTGAGGGCCGCGATCTAGTTTGAGGCACTGCGAGTCAGTTAGTTTTTTACATTTTTTAATTTATTTTGTTGTTTAAATATTACAATATAAGAATATAATACATGTTTGATTTAGTTGGTGTTTTTCTCTTCTTTTGTTTTTGATTTGTTTACATACATGTATGTAGTATTTAAAAATTGCTTGCACATAACATTTGTTTAATTTCTTCGTTTTGATTGTTAACTATTACAATAATTATTGTTGTTTTGTTGCTTTCCTATTTTGTAGGTAATAAGTTGTTCATTTTATCATCAAAAATAGCTGTATACATAACATCAAATAAACAAAAAAGTACTTATGCGATAGACAAGTTGCCCTATTAGTAAACAATAATAAAAAGTGTGTTAAACGCGATATGCCATATATATAAAAATATTTATATGTATATATAAAAAAAAATATATAATTTGTAATACTTTCTAAAATAAACCAGCAGTTGTAGCGAAGATTGGAACACTCGACAACGACTACGACGATGACGAATACCAGTAACGAGTAACGAGTAGCGCATTTAACAACGTGTAGCAAAAGTAGCGAGCAGCTTGAATTTGCGCACGCTTGCAGCGCGTCTCATACAATGGATGATTTGTCCAGAAAGGAAGAGGTGTCCAGCAGCAACTCAGTGCTGCTGCTCAATAATATGTCGTAGAGCTCATGTGGCGCATCGCCAGCAATAGGACTGCCAAAAGGAAAGAACGATGATAGCGTCGATAGCTGCAAGGGGCCACCATTCACCACAGCCAAACCATTTGCCGAAGATCCGCCACCCGATGCAGTAGTTGGCAGCGATTTGCGTCGTCTTTCCACACCGTCCACATACTCAACGGGCTCCTCCTGCTGCTGTTTGGGTCTCGTCTCACCGATCGCCTCGTAGAAGGCATCGGGCAACTCCTCAAGACTTTGTAACTCGATGCAGCGCTGCATTTTCGCAATGTTACTCAGCAGCAGGCGATGAAAGAGATCCACCTGTGGCTGACCACCACCGCGAATATCCAAGACGGGCAACCAGCGATAATAGCACTGATCCCACACAGCCAGATCAATAATTCGATGCCGCGGCTGCAGATAGCGATCCTGTGGCACCGTCGATTGCGTTGCAAACAGCTGCGGATTGATGGTGTAACGAGAGGGTGAAGATTGCCCCAGCGCTTGCACCTGCGTTGGCAACTGGCTCATCTTACTTTGACCCACTGCGAGGGAGCGTCGATAATTTTGTGCGGTGCCGAGATCGCCACGCTGTCGCTGATACAACGGGTTGCTGAAGAACATCTTGTCTTTGTCGGAGAACTGTTCGCCCCAATCCCACACGGGGCGCAGCACGAGTCGTCCCTCGTTGACGGCACGCGTCCGCTGGGCCTGACTGTCAAATTGGAACGTATCAAAGATGGGCATAAAGCACGCATCCCACAGCGTCGTGAGATACGTTTGCGAGAATTCAAACTCGTCGGGAAACTGTTGCAGCAACTGCCACACGCAGTCCAGATAGAGCAGAAAGACGGGGCTCTGTTCGCTATCCGGTGCCTGCTCGGTACCGCCTCGAGACACATAGACATGACCCAATCGACGCTGAAACGGATGCTCCAACGCAACCCAATCCTTCTGCACCAGTGACTGAAATCCATCGATGGTGCGAAAATGCGGATCGAGAAGGAGTTGCGTGAGGCTGCTAATGACACAGCACAGATCGCGACCATTGGACTCCTGCAGAACGCAAGTGATGTTCGCACGCAATGTGGCCGCTGCCTCGGAGGCATTGCGCAAACAGAGCGACACATAAAACAGCCAATTGGTCTTCTCCAGCAGTCCCAGGTACTTGTCGTCCTGCATCATAAACTTCTCCGGTGACTCTGGGGTGCAGAGACGCCTCAACTTTTGATAGGCCCGCTGCACATCCTGTGTACTGGGCAGCTCATCTGTTAATTGGAGCAACTTCAATTGCTTACGCTCATCACACTTGCGCACCAGCTCCAACATAATGTTCTCCATTTTGGTATCCTGCTGTGACGCCGGCTGCAACTCTGCCAGACGCACAAGGGAGGCGGCACCACTCCCATAACTATATACCCAAAAGGCCGCACGCGAGTCGCAAAATGCCAGCGAAAGCTGTAGGAAACGCTCCACATCACAGCACTTGGGGATGACAAAGTGCGGTGGCAGTTGATATTTGCAAGATTGCAGCCGATTCTGGAGTTGAGGAACACTGCTAGCACTAATCACTTGCCATTCGGTGGCACCGCATCGAATCAGCTCCCTCGCCCAGTCATTCTTGCTGGCGTACATGCTGACGCCGGTTAATGTGGAATAGTAGGGCTCCCGATAGGCATAGGCAAAGCTCAGATCATGCCGCATCGGATAGGCGAAGCGGGCCAGAGCGGAGGCAATTAGTTTACCATAGTCACTCAACTTGGAGTCCTGTTGCTGAAACGCAAACTTGAGCAGACGGAAATTTGCACAGATTATATGCAGCGCAACAATGCGGCCATTGATATTATGCTGCTTGGCTGGCTCCAGTTTCTTGCGTCGACTGCTGGCCATCCGTGCCGCTTGCAGGGCACTCGCTGCACGTCCCTGCTCCGCAATCGTATAGATCTGATCGATGTTATTCAGTGTGATCTCGTTGCGTCCAAGATATGCATTCTCTTGATAGAGATCACTGGCCACCGTAGACAATGTTGATCTCGCATGCAACGGCACAAAGGCCAACTTGAAATTGGTAACACTCAGCAGGCCAAACGTGGAATCTTTGTAGGTGGATCGACTGCCATTGTTGCTATTGTTGCCATTGCTACTGTTAGTGTTATAACTATTGTTGCTGTTGCCACCGCCAGTGAAGGTGCTGCTGCTGCTGCCGCCACCGCCGCCGCCGCCGCTGCTGCTGCTGTTGCTGCTCTCCTCCATGGGTGCAATGGGTGAGTACATGTAGGCGGGTGCACTGGCAACAATTTGCTCCCCCGACAGTAGACGAGGCTTGGCCAAATGCACATCACGCAAATCGCTGGGCAGGCACCATTCGTTCGTATCCGCAGTGACGCGTATATCCCCCACCATTGGCGCCACGTAGCTGGTAAAGGTGTTCCGCTTGCGATGATCGGGCATATCGCTGCTGATGTTGCTGCTGTGGCCAGTGGCCATCCTCCCTCAGCAACTGTTTATCGCTCCTATTATATTTTATTACAGTCGAGTCGAGTCGAGTCCCAATATTGGTTTAGCTCTGACTCTTGTTTGTCTCTTTGCCCAGCACGCACTTGGAATATTTAATTATTGTCTATTTCCTGTGTCTGCTTCTCTGCGCTGTCACTTTGTGAGCGCTGCTGTTGTTGCTGATTGTTTTGTGTTTTTTTTTTTTGCTTTACTGCAACTGGCTTTTGTAAGTTAGCCGAATCAGCCGCCTCCAATGATTGGAAAACTGTGTGTGGCCGCAACATAAACACATGAAACAAAACACAAAAAAAAAAGAATAAGAAATTAAAAAAATAAAACAACAATAGGTAAGTAGTTAAATGTAATGTATTAGAGATGAGCGCGAATTGCATTTTTCACGGCACGAACCACAAATGATTAGATCCGGCAGTTTTCCTCTTCCGTTTTGCATTCATTTTAGTAGATTTTCAAGATATACGTTTATTTTGAATTTTACTTCAAAAATTTAGTTTCTTTATTTAATTTGTGAATTCTAAAAGCGTAACTTATCATATATTTTTTTTGACTAATTCGTGTAAATCTAATTTAAACGTGTTTCGTCGTGCCGTGCAAAAAAACATAACACGCGCCCAACTCCAGCAGGTAAATATATTTATTCACTCACTCACACACACACACACACACACACACATAGAGGCGCTTAAGCATAGGCAAAATTAGAATTATTGTCGTTTTTTTGATAAGTTTATCAGTTGCGCCTACCGTATTTTTAGTTTTTGTTTTAATTCTGCTGTTGTTGCTGCGCTGTGAGTAGGTTGTTACTTGGCGAGCGAACGTGTTTATTTACTTGTCATCCTTATGCATCATCCAACAAACACACTAATGCACGTATATATAGCATTTATTTATTTATTATTTTCGTTGTCGCCATAAATATACACATGCACATGCGTATATATGCTACTTACTTACGCACGCACACATGTACCCTCATTGCATGTCAAAAAAGAAACTATCGTTATCGGCAAAGTGCTGGGCTGAAAACAGCTGTTTCGCCGTGCTGTCATTTTGATCATTAAACAACACTTGTCAGTATCGATAGGTTTTTTGTCTAACCTGTGACATGAGCTTGGGAGAACTTTTTTAAATTTTTAAGATAACAATACTAAGCCTGCGTTTTTTCAACTACATATTATATTTCGATTTGAGAAGATATTATATTGTGCGATATTTAAATAACTTGTCACTTGATACTGAACACGAAAGGCTTACCGGCAAAGGTACGAACGGGCAAACAATAGTCGAATAATCGATTCGTGCTTTAATCGCAGTTTTAATATCGACATCGTTGCAGCTTGTTAACGCCAGCAAAAATACACTTGGTCGGCCACCACGCGGCGAAAGGTGAGTTAAGCACAGTAAATTAAATATTAAATAGCGATTACGACTTCGATTTTTCTGTATATAGACTGTGTATGCTTTGGCTACACCACAGCAGTCGGTGCTTCAAACTTTGCCTTTCACAAACAACATTATTTTCATCGTGCGTATCGACGTTAGTAATAATTCGGACGAAATTCAATTTCTTACACTACCGAAACTGCCGTAAGAATCTGCAATTACAATTACTAACCACACAGAGATACCAACAAGCACAGCTCAGTATGTCTACCCAAGTCAAATATTTGGAGTCACCCGACAAGTCGGAAATGGACAAAAAACTCTACAAGTAAGTAGCGCACCCATCTAACTAACGCATACATGTGCATGTGCTTATGCATCTGCACTCACAGCTGCAGTTTCCTTTTCTTCTATATTTGATAGATGATAGATGAGATGATAGTTGCTTGCATATATATTTACATAGGTAGCCCGGCTTTGAAGAGTATAAAAAGATCAATAGCTTAAACGTTTTCCATTTGTATTCGATCTGCTTGGTTTATTATTATTTAATTTCAATGAGCCTGGCTACAGCATGTGTAGACAGCTGCGCAAGCGCCGAATGCAGCTGTGCAAATGTTCCAACAGAAGATAGTGGATAGTTCATACAATGTCAATAGCTGAAAGGTGCGCGACCGCTGGAGAATTGAAATGTCTTTCATTTTCTTTTAATATCGTATTTCGCTCAGTGTTGAAATATCTTGTGGGACTTCAGCAGCTGAGTTTGTGGCATATGTTGTTGTGTAGCGCAATTCATTGGCTCAACCTAGCTGCAATAGAAATTAAGATGCGTTTTTAACTTATTCTTTTCCAGGACACTGCTCTTGCCAAATGGCTTGCATGCTCTGATCATCTCGGATCCAAGTCCGATTCCACATGATGGCTTTACCACATCAGAGTCGTCAATTTGCGAGGGCGAGATTGGCGAGGAGACATCTGCGGAGACTGAGAGCACGCCTGACTCCAGCGACGACACAACATCATCATCCTCGTCGGGAAGCAGTCAGCATGACTCCGACTCGGACAGCGAGGAGGGCGACGAGAAGCTGGCAGCCTGTGCCGTGCTCATGGATTACGGCTCGTTTGCGGAGCCACGTGATTATCAGGGACTGGCGCATTTTCTGGAGCACATGATATTCATGGGATCGGAAAAGTATCCGGAGGAAAACATATTTGATGCGCACATCACTAAATGTGGCGGATTCGCCAATGCCCTCACCGATAGCGAGGATACAGTGTTTTATTTTGAGGTGGCTGAGAAGCATCTCGATTCGAGTCTCGATTATTTCACGGCTCTGATGAAGCATCCTCTAATGAAACAGGAGGCAATGCAACGCGAACGCTGCTCGGTGGACTCAGAATTCCAGCAGATCGTCCAGGAGGATGAGTTGCGTCGTGACCAGCTGCTGGCCAGCCTGGCATCCGAGGGTTTTCCCCACGGCACCTTCTCCTGGGGCAATCTGAAAACTTTAAAGGATAATGTCGATGATCAAGTGATGTACAAACTGTTGCACAAGATCCGTCGCGAACATTATACCTCCAATCGCATGTATTTGTGCATGCAGGCTCGTCTACCCATCGATGAGCTGGAAGCGCTCGTTTTGCGCCACTTTACCGATATACCAGCCAATCCCGGCGTACAGGCACCTGATCTGAGTGGATTCAATTACCGCAACGCGTTCCGCGATGAGTTCCACCAGCATGCGTTCTTCGTAAAGCCCGTAGAGAATGTGTGCAAGCTGGAGCTGACCTGGGTGCTGCCCAATGTGCGTCAGTATTATCGCAGCAAGCCGGATCAATTTCTCGCCTATATTATCGGCCACGAGGGCGCGGGCAGCCTTTGCGCCTATCTCCGGCGTCGCCTGTGGGCTCTGGAGCTCGTCGCTGGCATCGATAACGATGGCTTCGATCTCAATTCGATATATAGTCTATTCAATGTGTGCATCTATCTCACCGATGAGGGTTTCAAGAATATTGATGACGTCCTCGCGGCCACATTCGGTTATATCAAGGTTCTGGCCAATGCCGATCCCAAAGCCTTGCGCGTCATCTTCGATGAGCAGCAGGGCATTGAAGCAACCGCATTCCGCTTCCAGCCACAGCGTCCCGCCATGGATAATGTACAGCAGTTGGTTCAGAATACCAAATACTTTCCGCCCAAGGATATCCTCACTGGCAATGAGCTCTATTTTGAGTACAACGAACCGCATCTAAAAGAACTAATTGGCCATTTGAATGAGTTCAAGTTCAATTTGATGCTGACGGCACGCAAATACGGAGATCTGATATTCGATAAGACGGAGAAGTGGTTCGGAACCGAATACACCAGCACTCCCATGCCACCTAAGTGGCAACAGCTGTGGAAGGAAACGGATGCTTCATCGATGCCGCACCTCTTTTTGCCTGGGCCCAATCGCTTTGTCCCCCAAGATTTTACAATCTTCTGGCATGCCGATGGTAAACCCGAGATACCCGACGTGCCCAAGAAACTAATACAAAACGAAACCTGTGAGCTGTGGTTCCGTCCAGACGATAAATTCGATCTGCCCGGGGTTTACATGTCCTTCTACCTAATCTCGCCCCTTCAGCGCAAGAGCGCCAAAAAGTAAGTAAAGCGAAATAAAATGCAAAAATTGATTTAGAAAACTTGTTTCACTCATTAATAGTGTCTCTCTTGTAAACTAATCCATACTCTAATCTATCTGTCTTGCAGTGATGCCATGTGTGCTCTGTACGAGGAGCTAGTCAAGTTCCATGTTGGCGAGGAACTTTATCCGGCAACCAATGCCGGCTTGGACTATACATTCGGTGTGAGCGAGAAGGGTATACTTTTGCAGGTGCACGGCTACAATGAGAAGCTGCATCTGATCATCGAGACGATAGCCCAGGCAATGATTAACGTCGAGTCCATGCTCACCGAGGAGATGCTCGCCACATTTGTTAAGGATAAGCGCAAGACATATTTCAACACGCTGATCAAACCGCGTGCTCTTAACAGGTCAGTCCCGATAATCCGAGTTGTTTACTCTGAATTGTGTCTATCGTCCTTTCCCTCAATTTTCAAAGTAGAATCAAACATCCATCGATCCACCAAATCAATAATGCATTCAGCTATTTGCAAAACTGGATTTAAATTAATTACTATATATATGCCACATATTTCAAGATTCTAACTATTTTCTTTCTTTTTTTTGTCTCTCTCGTGTGTGTGTGTTTTTTTTTTTTAGGGATGTGCGTCTATGCGTTGTGGAGCACATGCGTTTCTTGATGATCGACAAGTACAAGAGTTTGAATGAGATAACGCTCAAGGATCTGCAGGAGTTTTCACATTTATTCCCGCAGCATTTGTACGTGCAGGGTTTGATACAGGGCAACTATAGGGAGGAGCAGGCGCACAATGTGATGAACACGCTGCTGACGCGCCTCGGCTGCCGGCCCATCAAGGAGCATAGCTTTGTTGAGGATCGCACTGTGCAATTGCCTCAGGGCGCACACTATATACGCTGTCATGCGTTAAACGAACAGGATACGAATACGGTGACCACGAATTACTATCAAATTGGGCCAAATAGTGTGCGGCTGGAGTGCATTCTGGATTTGCTGATGATGTTCGTAGAAGAGCCGCTGTTCGATCAGCTGCGCACCAAGGAGCAGTTGGGCTACCATGTGGGTGCCACAGTGCGTCTGAATTACAGCATCATCGGCTACTCAATAATGGTCAATTCACAAGAGACGAATACAACCGCTAGCCATGTGGAGCAACGCATCGAGGTGTTCCGTGCCAATATGTTGACAATACTTGAGAATATGCCACAGGGGGACTACGATCACACTCGCGATTCACTCATCAAGCTAAAGATGGTCGCCGATATGGCCCTCGGAACGGAGTTCCTGCGCAACTGGACCGAGATTGTCAACGAGAAGTACATGTTCGATCGTCGTCGCCAGCAGATCGAAGTGCTGCGCACTTTGACCGCTCGTGAAATCATCGCTTTTCTGCTGGAGAACGAGATCAGCAATATGCGCAAGTTGTCCATACAGATCATTGGCAACAAACCGGATAAAACAACTTGCTGCAAATTGGCAGCGAAATCCAAAGCGAGGGCCAAGCGTTCCGTCGAGATCATTGGTGATGGCGATGATGATGATGTTGATGATAGTGATGATGATGACGATGACGATGACATGGAGGAGGATGTGGAAATGGAGACTAGCTCAGAGGAGGATGAGGATGAGCTTTTCCAGGCGCTGGCCAACAAATTGAACGTTACCTTTCTACCCAAAGAGGGCGATGCAAGCACAATTACGGACATTGACGAGTTCAAAGCGAATCTGGATCTATATCCCATGGTACCGGACATTCCCGATGATCTCACACCGAGCAACTTCATCGAGGATGCGATGATGAAAAGTTGAACACTCTTCCAACGACAAGCGACAAACAACAAACCAACACAACCAACACAACCCACAAAACTCACTTAACCACCAAACACAACAAACAACAAAAAAAAAACAAGCAAAAATCAGCCACATCAAAAATGTTCATAATATTTAGTATTTAGCATTAAGAACCTTTTGCGCCAGCCAAAAAGGGGCAAGTCTCATTTCCAAAATGCAAGCCGCCTTTTTAAGCCAAGCAAAACTCACACACAGACACACACACACACGTACACACACACACACATACACACACACACACATACACACACACACATACACATACACACACACACACACACACGAGGAGCAGCAATCATTTCACATTGTAAAAGTAAAGAAATTTGCATTTCTTTTTTTTCAGCGAAAATTATAAGTGACGATATTGACAAACCTGTAACTTTGTCAGTTAATTAAATAAACACAACTTATAAATAATAATGCAAAGCTAAATTGGTTAATTATATCAACAGCTGAAGTGGTGGGAGCGGGAGAAGGGAGCAGGCAAGAGGCGAACGGATGGGTTAGTAGAAGTCCTGGTTCAAGCAGAATATAACTACTTTTGTACAAAGCAGTTCGGTTTTATCTGTCAGGATATGGGTGAGTTCGACCCTTTCTCGTCGCCACTTTACTCCTAAAAAATATGTTGCAATTTTCGTGGCAGCCTGAATCCGGCAATCGATCGCAAACGATCCTATTTGCCATTATTTCGATTAACAAAAGCGTTTTAGGTTCACAAACTTTTTGTTTATTTGTAACTTGATCTGTTATTTGCTGGTATGGGATCAACTTTATTGGATTTATACACACATGTATATAAACATGATGTGTATGTTTGTATAAACTGTACAAATAGCGATAAGCGTACTTATATATGTATGTATGTATATATATATACAAAAATCAGTTTCATTTCGTTATATATTTTGCAGTTGTGCTCCCAATTATGACTTATGATTATCATTATCATGAATATTTATACAACAATGCGCGCTTTTGCTTAACAATTTAGTACACCAATTGGGGATCTTACCCGCATTATATGCCAGATGTAAATATATATATATATATATGCTAAATGTATGCTATGTATATATGTAAGCATAGAGAAAATCTCGATATTTTCGTTTGTATTTGTTGTGTATTTAATAGTAAGTAACAATATGGTCAATAGTTTATTAGTTTATACTGCTCATATGATCTTGTCTTGTCTTGTTTAAGTTCTTTTTTCTTTCTTTCTATCTCACAGTTGATCTTATGTTTAAATAAGGAATAAACAGAACTCAATTCGCACACATGAATTATTAACAATGAACAAAAAAAAAAATGCTATATAAAATGAATGTTTGTTCTTTTTTTTTTGTTTTTGATTATTGCATATATACAGATTTTGTATTATAGTTAGATATATGTATTGTATATGAATCTAAATTATAAAATGTTTACGGTAAATTTGTAGTTTGTCGTTTAGAGCTTTTGCAGCTCGGTGGTGTCGCCCAGATAGCGGGACTGCAGAATGCGTGGCGTTCGTTCGCTGTTCGAGTCCTGGAGTAGACCCTCCTCCTGCTTCCCGTTTAAATTCGCTGAACTGCTGAAGATGCGCGAAATAAGTGACGTGTTGGAGCGCTTAAAGGCAGCCATCCGCTTGCCATTCATGAGCTCGGGCAGATCATCGAGCCCGCGATGCAGCGAAAGTTTGTCAAGCTCCGATTCGGAGCCATTGCGTTGGGCCCGCTCCAATGCCAGCTGTGACTCATATTCGGCAGTTCGTAGCGTTTTCGCCGTTGGCTTGCGATACATTTTAAGCAGCAGCGAGGAGCAGACAACGCTCACCGAACTGGCGGCCATCGCCACCGATGCCATCCACGGTTGGAGCGTAAAGCCAAAGGGCGCAAAGAGTCCGCTGGCCAGCGGTATGCCCAACAGGTTGTACATGCTGGCAAACAGGAAATTATAACGGATGCGGCGCACTGTGCAGCGCGAGAGATCTAAACAGGCGACCACATCCAGCAGATCATTTCGCATCAGCACAATATCTGCCGCCTCGGCGGCAACATCCGTTCCAGCCGCAATGGTTATGCCCACATCTGCTTGGGCCAGCGCCGGACTGTCGTTGACACCATCTCCGACCATAGCAACGCGCACGCCACGCTGCTGGATCCGCTGGATTTTTGCCACCTTATGCGAGGGCAGCACCTCAGCGTAAACTGTGCGAATGCCCACCTGTAATTTGATATGATCATAATCAGAGTAAGACATTATTTTTGAAAAGCGATGAATAAATACCTCACGTGCTATGCTCGCTGCGGTGTTCTTGTTGTCGCCGGTGAGGAGGACGACATCGATACCCATGCGCTTGAGCGTGTAGACGGCCAGATGGGCTTCCGGTTTGACCATGTCGGCGACGGCAAACATGCACACCAGTTGACCATTAAGTGCGCATAAGACAGCTGTGTGTCCTTTGTGCTCCTCGCGCGTCATACAATCGCTAATCTCCAGTGGCACCTCAATTGCATTGCGCTGCATCCACTCACGATTGCCAATGAGCACATGAATCTCGGGACCATCAATCAACGGTTGCTGTTGCTCCTCTTGTCTTCCCTGTTCCTGTTTTTCTTGCTGTTCTTCGAGTGCACCATCCAACGCAAGCAGCTGATGCTCAATGAACTTATGCTGCAGCTGAAGCTGTTCAATGCTGGCGCCATTGTCGACATTAATGGCGCTGCTGGGATTCGTGCGCCACAGATTCTCATAGTTGATGATGCGTTCCGCATTGCACGATTGTCGGAGGGACTGCTCATAGTTCGAGACGGTGGCGCGTATGCCACAGCCGGGCACCGACTGGAAACCCGAACTCTTGCCAAAGCTCTGATGCACATTCAGCATATCCTTGGCAAAGTGTACGATGGCCGAGGCAATCGGATGCTCGCTATTCTGCTCGGCGGCTCCAATGATGGTTAGGGCGCGTGCCAAACTGCATACCTGGGGCGGCACAAAGATCGTCACCCGACTGGTCATGGGAGTGCCATGTGTGATGGTGCCCGTCTTGTCAAACACAACAGTCTTAACCTGTAAAAGCACGAGAGGATTAATAGCTAGATGAGATTCGACGAATTAGAACTCACCTTGTGGGCATTTTCCAGTGCTGTGGCACCCTTGACAAGCAGTCCATTTGTCGCTCCCGTTCCGGTAGCTACCATGACCGCTGTGGGCGTGGCCAGACCCAAAGCACAGGGGCAGGCAATGGCAAGGACACTCAACGCACACTTGAAGGCGTAGCTTATGACAATCGTATTACGATCCATGTGCATCTTGTGCTCCATGGCAACAGGGACGAGATCGGGATTGACAAAGCCTGCAATAATCCAACCGATGAGCGTAATGGTCGATATGGCCACCACAAAGGGCACAAAATAGCCGGCAATGCGATCGGCAAGTTGTTGGATGGGCGCCTTCGATGTTTGTGCCTCCTCCACGAGGCGGACAATCTGGGCAAGCGTTGTGTTCTCCCCCGTGTGCGTTGCCTCGACAAGGAGCACACCATTGCGATTGATCGAGCCACCAATAACGACAGCACCCTTGCGCTTAGCAACTGGCATGGATTCACCGGTGATGAGGGATTCATCGCAACTGGAATGACCGTAGAGAACTTTCCCATCGACGGGCACTTTGGCGCCGGGTATAACCTTGAGGATGTCGCCACGCTGCACATAATCCACCGAGATGGTCTTTTCGCTAATGATGTCAAAGTCATCGGAGATCTCCACGAGCAGCGCATCGGCGGCTTTCAATGAGAGCAGCTTGGAGAGCGCCTCCGATGTTTTGCCCTTGGCTATGTGCTCCAGCCAGCGACCCAGCGAGATGAAAATCAGCAGCATTGGCGGCGTATCAAAGAATGTCAGCGGTGAGCTATTCTGCTCCATGAGCACAGCGGCAATGACCACTGCGACGGAGTACACATATGAGATGGTCGTCACCATCGAGATGAGCACATCCATATTTGTGGTGCCATGTTTGATAGCTCGATAGGACTGCACATAGAAATGATAACCACCAAAGAATTGCACCGGTGTTGAGAGCAGAAACATGACAAGATTCTCCATGGAGAGTCCGGGCACCAGGCAGCACATATTCTTATGACCCTTGTCGTTCATCTCCAGCATGAAGTAGATCATGGCCACCATGCACGGACCGCCAAAGATTAAGGATATCATAAAGGCGTTCCGCCACTTTCGTATCTCCTCCTTGTGCTCCAGATAATTGTGTGTCATCTTATCGCGCCCGCTGAGCAGCTTCGCCTGAAATCCAAGCGCCTCAATTGCCTCGCATATGCTCCGCGGCCCCGTCGTCTCAGTAATATATCGGAATTTACCTGCATTGGCGAAGAGACCAGAAATTATGAATATAAATATATATTATTATTATATATACATTATTCATATCATATGCAACTTTATGCCAGCAAACTACGGCCACCATTATAATTAGATTAGATTAACATGCAAAAAAAAAAACAAACAAAAAAAAACAAAAAAGTCATAAAATTCTAACAAAGTAGTAAATGCTGTTTCCAAGTGAAATGCAACTTGGCTAGTGGCAAAAGAGATTAAGTAATTTTCTATTTGACTGCGCGATAAGAGATAATTTTTCAACATATCATTGAGTTCATTATGGATGTCATCATTATCAGAGATGCAAAATATATTAAAAGAGGTGTTCAGAACAGTTCATTGATATATATATATATATATAGTTATAGTATTATATTATATAGTATTTTTGTAATATATTACTGCTCATCATTATAAGACTAATTATACATATGAAGACAATGAAGAAATTCTTTAGTAGACCTAGAAATAATTTCTTATTGGCATAGACAGGTGTTCTCATTGATATGGTCATGTCTGTCCCTGAAGTCTTAAAAGTTTAAAAGGCTTTTTGCCATGAGCTGTCCATGTCTTGCAATTGGAATGGAAATTGAAATTGGAGCGCTTTTATTTTATTTTGGCTGGCTTGGAGCTAAAGTTTTAATTTGCTATTAACCTAAAGACAACCGGTTCGGACAACAACATTGCCGGATTTGATTGCAAAACTGAAGCTGTTGTAGCTGTCTACAAACTGGATTCCAGTCGACCCCCCTCAGCACCACTGCTGCCACAGTCCCTGGATGTATCCGTATGCTACATGCATTAATCACTTGAACAATAAGCTCCAATTTCAAAGAGTATTTGTATCTCTCTCGTATCGCATTCGCATTCGCATTCGCATTTGTATATCTAACTAAATATTTGTGTGCGTGTGTGCATTTGTTTGTTTGTGCTTAAGTCGTTGTGTCTGGGCTAAAATGGCCTGCTGAACTTGGCCAACGAATGGAAAAAAAAGAAGAGGACTTACCTCTTAAGTTCTGGTAGTTATTACCATTTCATTTCGTTTCGTTGTTGCTGTGACCCAAGATACCACATAACGAACGATAAGATATGAAAATTGTCTCAATTTTTTTTTTTTGTGACGTTGATTAAGATGTTGAGCCCAAAATCAAATCGGATAGCAAGCCCCTGAATGAGTCGACCCATTTCAACAAATATTGTTATTAGATATATAGACATATATCGTAGCTGTTAACTGGGTGGGTACAGTTATGAGAAAAAAAGTACACTTTTATTTGCATTTGTGAATGGAGATAAGTAAACGAAGAAAACCCCCTGCATTTCCAGACTCTCAAGCTCACGGACTGAATCATAGCAGATAATGTGCTTCATCACAACTACAGCCAAAGGGCAGGACGGGTGGGGAGGGGTGCCTTATCAGGGGGCGGGGGTTTATATTTTTATTTATGCATCCATTTGTTTTGTGATATCGTGTGCAAACTCGACATTCGACAATAGCACGCAGACTATCATGTGGTAGGTTTATTTTATATTGTTTGTAAATACCCTGTAGGCAATTAAAGCATAGGGTATACAGGCAGAAGCAGAAAGCATAAAGTTCAAATACATTCATTCCAAAAAGGTCTCGAAGCAGTACTCAAGCACTAGGAGACTCAATAGCTGATTACTGGGTATGACCCAGTCGAGCTTTGTATTTGAACTGAATGTCTGCCGAAGCGTGTGCAAAATTCAGATAACTATGAAGGATTACAATATCATCCGCTTCGTTCAAATTTTAATGCTCATTATCAAAGAAAAATCGATCGATCGAGCAAATCAAAGCGCAACAAAGCGAATCGATCGAATCTCTGTCCTCAATTTGAAGCACAGCACACAGCTACCAAATCGCTCAACATTTTTCCTCTATACATAGTATATATATGTATGTATAAACAAAACATATGTATACACTTCTACTATCTAGTACACCCACAATAACAAATGCTACAATCTCTCTTTTTCTCTTGCTCTTTTAGATGCCCGACATTATTTCAATTTCTGTTTTCATAGAGCCTTGTTCGTTGTTGTTGTTGTTGTTATTGTTATTGTTGCTGTTTGCATCTTATCGCTTCGATTCGTTTTCATTTTTAGAACATTTCTCATTGTTGTATTTGCTACTGTTGTTGGTGTTGTTGGTGTTGTTGTGTCATTTGCAATGAACAAGCGAAGCGGTAGTCAGCGTCACTTATCTGATAAGCATCGGCAGTCAAAACATATGTTCCTCTCAACTCGGACAACCCTAGCTAACTGTAACTCACAATCTTTGTTGGTTTGGTTTGGTTTAGTTTTTATTTGACTAATTTCACAACTTGTCGTCGTGCTTGCCGATTTCGATACAGAATTAAAAACTGTGGCTAATTGACCATAAATCATTGAAAGAGCTTGGCAATTAATCGAGAAACTCGGAATTATTTTGCACTTGTTAACCAAGTTTAATGAAAAATGATTGCACAAATGCCACAAGTTGACTGATAAGTTTTCTGCTCTAATGTGTAAAGATATATATAGTGAAAGGGAAATGAGTTTACATTCTTGGTACTTCACATAGTTTTCACTAGGCATCCAAAGTACATGGTTACAGATGCATGTAATGAAAATGTGTTTGATTGGCGATACAGGTTTGATTCCACAAAGCGTATATAGTTTCCACGAAAATACAAGAACTGCATCGAATCATAGTTCAATCATTTCTCACTTTATCGTGGAATTAGGAAACTACCATTCGGATCTGCAATCTTCAATTAAGATTAGAGCAATCTTTACAAATTTGAAAGTAAGCCAACAAACAAGCTTACACATTCAGCTGCAAACGAGTTCAGCTCTCACTTCTAATGCGCGTTGTACTTGAAACAACAATTTGATTGAATTTTTTCAATCATATTAATTTCAGAGCTCATATATCTGAGATATCAGATTCATGTAAAATTTTTATTAATTCATCACATTGAGAATCGGTTTTCTTTCCCTTTTTGGAATTTCAGTGCGTTTATGCCACGGATTATAATTGCAGGCCAAAATGAAAGCTGCGCTGCCAGTTTGCTTGGTAGTTAAACATAACTAAAATGTGTATACTATAAAGTAAAACCAGTTTTAGTGCAACTATCATAGATACACAACTGAACAATACACAAAAAAACTAATAAACAATTCACATTGAAGATTACAGATTTTCATAGTCAGTACTAAGATCTGATTGGCCAAACGACTGTTATTGACTGGAGATAGAATAGTCTCCATTTTTCTTAGCACAAGCAAGATTATGGAATATTACATAAATATAACACTAAATCTTTTTCTTTTGCATGATCTGTTTCATTATATTCCAGTTACAACAAATCATAAAATGATATTTATTCATAATCATGTATCTAAATATTTCATTCTTCATATTTCAGATTTTTCACAAGTTTATACAATTTTTGACAATTTCCAGGTAGAGCGCTTGGTCTTGCATAACATTTCAGTCCATATATTTTGTAGTTAATATCTTTATATCTAACCATAATGGCAACAACACAAATATGCGAAACTCAAGTTGAAATGGAAACCGAGTGAAGGTGAATGTGAACGTTGCGCAGGCGCAGCGAACCGACACGAACACAAAAGAGCAATCGAAATCCAAACGAAAATCAGAGAGAGAGAGAGAGAATGAGCAAAAGAGACAGACCGAGAGAGAAAGAGAGGGCAAGGCTCTTTCACTTTTAGATTAAAGCTGATTAACAATGAAAATTGTATAGCTAAAAAAACGAATGCTTTAACGAAATCAAACTGCAATTGTTGTTGTAAATATCGTTTGGTATAAGCACACATTATTATTATTATTATATATATATACATGAAAATATCTTTGATATACAACATAAGCATATGTTTGTAAATGATTTTTGTATTTGTGGCACATCAAATCTGCAATCGAAAGTACACAAAACAAAAGCGCCTTTGTGCATTTATATATGTATGCATATGGTTTTCAGGGTGCATACGATATCCATAAATTATATCTATATATACATATGTGTTTCCGTATATATACATTGACCTTATGCATGTATAAAAACATCAATGCAATGATTCAGTGATAAAGCAATGATCTCAAAAAAAAAAAAAAAACAACAACAAAAATCAAACAAAAGGTGCTCCCAGTTTCTAAAGCACTCGCTTACAAGTAAAAAGACATTTTGTAAGAGGGATCTAGTTAAAATTTCATTTTTGAGACCAATAATGCTGTTGAATAAATAAAATAAAAGTGCTTTAATAATATTATGGAGCTTTCACGACATTTCCATTGTAATCATAATAGTAATAATAAATATTCTATAGCATAAAGTATTTGCCAACTTCGAAGCAAAACAAAAACCTCTCTTTTTTTGTAGATCTGCTTTCATCATATACTTTCTTACGGAATATTTGAAATATCGAAATGTTTTAAGCACTTCTTCGAAAACTTGTACATCGAAGTGTAAACTCTTCTCTGTGTATCGCTTTTCCTACCCCACTATTGGGACTCTGTAGAAAATAACCCAGATAAAGCCAGTCGCCCGTATTTGAGAAATACACACTCGGATTTAATCGCATGTGCTGTTGTTGCTGTTATTATTCTTTGTTGTTGTTTTTGTGAGCATTGCCCTGTGGAGAATTCTTATCAAATATGTATATATATATATATATATAAATATATATATACATATCTATGTATGCTTAGTATACATACAAAACTCCCAAACTTTGAAGTATTTGTATTTGATTTAAATATTGTTTTCACAAATTGATTGTTTCACTCAAATATATTCCAAAATAATACATTGGCTGGGAATCTTAGCACGTGTTTTCATTAACAATATGAACGACAGGTGTATGCACATAAATGTATAAAGACGTGCCAATGATGACATATGGTGCAAATGCTCGATTCCAGTTAATATAATGCAAATATTGACATATTGTTCTCTGTTGTTCAATTGTGGAGTTGTTGAAATTTTAGATGGATTACGCAACAATGACAAGGCGATATGAAGTCTCATTATTGTAGATCCCATACAATTAAATCGCTTAAGAAATATTAAATTAAGTCGCTTATAGACAGAGCCAATTGAATTGTTGGCTAAATACAGGGTATGTAATTGGGTATCTTGTGCATACTCACCGCGTTTGGTGAGCAGCGTCACCGAGGAGGCCGTGACGCCGGGCAGCTTGAGCACATGGGTCTCAATTTTATGGACGCAGGATGCGCAAGTCATGCCCATTATTTCGAGCTCCACCTCGGCCTCCCCGTTATCGGGCTCATCGATGAGCTCCGTGGGAAAGCCGAGCTCCGTTATCGATTTGGCAATATTCTCGGCCGTCAGAACATTCGCATTGAACTTGACTTCTGCCTTCGCAGCGAGCAGCGCAACCAGTATGCTATCCAAGCCGTAGATCTTGCGGCAATGTTTCTCAATCGCTGCCACACAGGAAGCGCAGGTCATGCCGCGTATGTGAAGGAAGCACTTTGTCAGCAGCTCCTGTTCGACGGGAACCAGGGTGGCAGACCCATTTGTTGCCTGCTTGGCAGGCGATGAGGTGGAGGTGGATTTCAGTACAGGTGTCGAGGTGTCCTTGACAGGTGTGTCCTGTGCGACACTCGCCTCGAAGCCCATGTCGTCAATCATTTCAGCAATACTCGCCGCTGTCAGCTGCTCCGGATCATATTGAACGCGCGCTTTTTTTCCCTCCAACTGCACTTGAATGTGATGCAGCCCAGCTGTGCCCGTTAAATGTCCCTCGATGTTGCGCACACACGACTGACAGGTCATCCCCAGTACGCGTATATCAACACTGGCCCTGGCTGCACTCACCTCCGGCTGATAACTGCACTCGAATCCCATTTCATCGATTTCGTATGCAATGCGTGTGGCGCTTATCCGATTGGGATCATAGTCAAAGTAACCGGCATGCTCATCCAATTGGACGCGCGCCTGCAGCACACCAGACTGCTGACCCAGTTTTCCTTCAATATTGCGCACGCACGACTGACAGGTCATGCCCACAATGGGCAGACGTACGCTGGCCATCGCAGCAGCAACAGGCTCTGTCAGCTGTTCTTGTTCGCCTGGGGCATTTTTCGCATTTAAGTGTTGGTCGTCTGGCATTTTTTGTTTTTTTTTTTTCAGTTTCAAATTTGCATTCGCATTTCACTGATCCGTTGCCTTATTTGTGTTGCCTTCTTTGAATTGGAATTTTTATTTTCTATGTTGTTTTTTTGTTTGTTTTGTATGCACTTGTATTAAGTAAAAAATAAGCCGAAATAATTTGTGTTTGTGTGTGTATATCGTAACTTGGCTAATTGTAGCACAATAAATTTGTGATATATTTTTTCCTCGCTGCTTTCATTCAAATGATTTGAAGTCACTTGAACGCGAGCTCTGTGTAAGAGACTGTTAGCTAATTGTGCTCATATCCAGGTTTAATGATGAACTCCACATCCGGATCTGTTGACTTTTGATTTTAGCTCAATTTATTATTTTTCCGCACGAAACGAACTATTTATTTTTCTAATTAATGCGCACAGCTGCTGGCGCTCGACATTGTGTACCGTGTGCCAATTGGGGACTGCCTAGCGATGTCAGCAATACATCGAAATATCCGAGCCGAAACGCTTCTCGATGTATCGTCTTATCGATGTATCGATTTGTAATCCAGTGCGTACTTGAATTAAACTTACCTTGCAGCACTGTCACTTTTCAGTGTTGACCAATGTATTTAGCTAAAGTGGTAAGAAGTAATGAAGAAAAAACTGCGTGTGGAAAACGCTGGCAGCAAAGCGTTTCAGTTGATTTTTGGTGCAATATTTACGATTGTAATTGTTAAAAAACGCGAAAAGTGCTTATGCGTACGCTGATAAAAGTGCCGAATTGAAATCAACTAACAAAGATGTTATAAACGGTCAAAGTGAAGTAGACAAAACGTTATGTTCTACTCTATTATATCCACATAACGCGCACACACGCACACCAACACAACACAACACACTTACACACACGCTCGTTCAGTTGCGCTGCCGCTGAGTGTCAACAGCTGCCGCTGCCTCTCTTTCGCTCTGCCTCTGCCTTTGTGGCGGTGGTGTTGCCGCAGTCAAAATGTCGGACATTAAGTAAGTCGCCTCGCCTGCAAAATGCAAATAGCAAACATAAAAAAAGCACAAACATTGAATAGTCACCAATGTTGCTAGCAACATTCATCATTCTTGTCGCAAATGGGTAACAATTGTAAAGTATCTGTATGTATTTGCAGCATTTTGATGTACCTAAATATTTGTGTGCATATAACATGCAAACACACACAATACACACATACACCTAGGAGGCGCTTGCATATTTTCAATATTTTGCATGCGCCTGTGTGAGTGTATGTGTGTGTGTAGGTGGGCGCAGAGCGCCGCATAATATGCGAGTTATGAAAAACATATAGAAAACAACATCCGCCAGATAGTCAAAGACCTGCTCCATGCATAGCCAGAGTCATAGAATCACAGGCACTTGTACCATAGAACTCATCTATTCCCAATGTTTTTTGTTTTATGTTTTGGTAATAAGCTATTGACATCTGTCAATCGTATCGAGCATATCATATCAATCAGGTATTGATTATTATTTGTATCAGCAACTGGATACACAGTCTTCTATTACAATTGTAATTGAAGTGATATTCTCATTCCATGTGTGCCATGTGTCCTCGATACAAATATTTCCACTTCAGATGCAAGTTTGCTTAAAAAGATACCGAGGATTAGATACCCTACCCTTGTGGAGCGGATTTTAGACCGCAGTCAAAAATATTGTTATGTTTTTGCACATTGTATTTAGATGTTCTCTGTTTCACCGCAGGCTGTGAAGTGAATATTTGTATCGTTTGTATATTCTATTGTATAAATTTCAAATCCATTATCGGACATGGGTATGCACATAAAGTTGTTGAAATTAGCCCCAACAATTTCAATGTGTAAATTGTAACTAGTTTGTTTGTCCGCATTTTTCCCTGAAATCTTCACGTTAAATTCATGCAATTTAGAAAACGGAATACAAGAAAAGTGGCCCGTGATTTGTCAGTTTATTTATTATTTGGGTTTATTGTTGTTTTTGCAGCGACGATCTGCTCATCTATGAGTTAGGCGATGACATTGACGATCAGGCGCTGCTTGGCGCCGACGAGGATGAGCTACTGCTCTCCGATGAGGGTAAGTGCTTGAGAAACTGTTTATGGTTAATGTGTGGACATGTGTAATATGTGACTTATCCTCTGCAGAGCTAGAGAACGATGTGAAACTACAGATGCGCGCCGAGGCCGAGGTATGGGCTCGGGAGCAGGTACGTAAGCACAAGGAGCAACTGGCGGCAACAGCAAAAGCTGCAACAGCAACAGCTACAACAAGACCAGTGACGCCCGCTGCAGACGATGCCGTTGTCGATCCACCAGCAGCTAGTCGGGAGTCACCCGGCGCCACTGTGGTGGCAGCAGCCGAAACTACTACGGCGCCCAATGCCAGTGAAACGGCGACGCAAATCACCGAACTGGCGGCTGCCACCTCAACAACAACAGCAACGGGAACACTGAACGAGGAGATTAAGGATCACATCGGCCCCGCAGAGCCCGCAACGGACAGCAACAGTCAAAGCAGTGGAAATAATGAACAACAGTTGCAACCAGAGCCGGATGTAGATACGGATGGATCTGCTGATGGGGCTGTGAGTGGGCTTTCCACCGTGTTGGCCTCCTCGCAGGAGAGCTTAACCAGTGCCGTCTCTGATCTACAAGAGGACGATGAGGAGCGCGAAGAGCGCACCAATTTCAAAACAGCCAGCGAACGTGCGGACAATCACAAGCAGCCACAGCAGCAACACTTGCTGCAACAACAACAAATGCAAAGGCGACATCACACAGGTGAGCATCTGATCTCTCTTCATTAGTTTCCCAGTTGTGCACGGGTAGACAGTAGTGAATATCCAATGCCATTCGAAGTTTTATTGTGGAGAGTGCATTTGCTCGTCGACTCGACGCACGTTGTTATTGATTGTTATAAATACCATTTACTATCTTAGTTCTTACAGACAAACCGCGCATGGGCGGTCGCTTTATGCCATTCGCCAACAACAATAACAATCCAAACAACCCAAACAATAAGCGCCTAATGGGTGTACGTCATCATCTGCTGCGTAATCCCAGTCCACACATATTCAGTCCGCAGCGAATGATGGGTGGAATGTCGATGCAGCAGCCGCAGCGTTTCCTGATGCCGCCGGGTAATAATAATGCACTTCATACTCATCATCATTTGGCCAGTTTGATGGCACCGCCGGGCGTTGTGGCAACCCCCTTGGCAGCCTGCATACTGTCGTCCCAACAGCAGCAGCATCAACAGCTGCAGCAGCAACAGCAGCAGCAACAACAACAACAACAAGCACTAACACTGAACAAAACTGCATTCATTCCAGGCCAATATACACCACAACAGCAACAACAACAACAACAAACACTACAACAACAAGCCACACAACAGTCGCCCTACAATACAAACAACAATACAATTCCTCTGGCCAATTCTGGTGGTCCAGGTCCTGGTCCCGGTGTTCCCACATCCTCCCCGCATCTACATAATCCCCACATGCTGCACCACAAGAACAACAACAATAACAACAATACCAATAACAACAAAAACAATAATAATAATAATACGAACAACAACAACAACAACAATGGGAGCAATGTGAATCCAAATGGTGTCCTATCGCATCAGCCGCATCTTTTGCCGCATCCGCATTCGCATACGCATCAGCATCCACACGATCCGGTGCGCGTTGGTCTGCTGCAGCCGCCGTTGCAACAAATGCAACAGCTGCCATACGGAAATGCCGCTTATCGTAATGGCGCCTTGCTGGGCCAGGGACCCGGACAACAACATCCGCCGCCAGTGGCACCACATTCACCTGGAATGCGACCACCGCTGCCCTTTCGCAATGGACCGCAGGGATATGGTCCTGGACCGGGAGCCAATGTTGCAGCGGGCCACGGTCCGTTGTCTGGATACGAGCCGCATCCGGGTCAATATATGCGACCACACAATGGGTGGCGGCCACAGGGCGGCGATGCGCCCGGTTCGCGCATGCCATGCCCACCGCTGCCCCAACATCTGATGGGCGCGGGACCAGGCTATATGAACGGCATGAATATGCGCGCTCCACATCAGCATATACAGCAGCAACAGCAGTCAAGCGCTGCTAGCCAGGCCCATCAGCTGCAGCAGCTTCAGCATCAGCAGCAGCTCCAACAGCAGCAATTGCAGCAAACCGCAGCACAGATCTCAACGCCATCAGCTCCTTCAGCCTCCCAGCTGCAGCTTCAACAGCAGCAGCAGCAGCAGCAGCAGCAACAACAACAACAACAGCAGCAGCAGCAGCAGATCCAGTTGCAGCAATCGGCCGTTGCCGCGGTGACAACCAATGTTCAACGTCACGTCAGCAAGGTACTCATTAATCCCAATTTTAAAGGTGGCGTCGAGGCCGCCACTAACAAATTCATCAAGGAGACGCACTTTGTGCCGGCGATCAATAGCGAAGCAGAGCTGTTGCGTCAGCAGGAGGAGTTCATCAATAAGAATCGCCAGTACTTTGAGAAGCGTCGCATGGAACGCTCACCACCGCCGCCCAGTTCCGGCTCCGCAGCGCTCTCATCTATGGCGCAGGGGGAGGGAGGGCGGCGCAGTCGGACACGCAGTCGCTCCCGCGGACGCAGTTACTCACCGCTGAAGCGCACGGATCGCGAACGGGAGCGTGACAGGGATCGGGACAGGGAGCGGGATCGGGAGCGTGAACGTGAACGCGAACGAGATCGTGAACGTGAGCGATATGGTGTAGGAGGCGGCGGCAGTGCCAGCGGAGGAGAAAGAGGAGGTGGAGGAGCCGTTGCACGTCCCACAGCCGGCAGTAGCAATCGTAGCTATCGTCGCGTCACCAGCAGGGAACGTGATGAGAATCGCAGTGGTGGTGGTGGCGGTGGAGGAACTGGCATCAATAGTGGAGGTGGCTCCAGTGCCGCTGCGGTGCCAAAGCGACGACGCAGTGGCTCCCCAAATGGGCCGCGCAATCCTTTCTCTGGCGAACCGCGCAACCGACCGCTGGACAGCAGCGCCAGCAGCAGTCGCACTGCGGTAAGTGTTCAATTCGTTTCAATGCTCTCTGGTTCCAATCGCTCATTGCTTGGTTGTTTCGTCTGCAGCCCAGCGACGAGGATGAGGAGACGCGCGCCTATCGCCTAGGGATTGAAAAGCAAAAGCAGCTGCGCGAGAGAATCCTGCGCGACAAGGAGCTGAAACGGCGACGCGCCGCCGAGGAGAAACTACATGAGGTGAGTCCCTTACAAATTGTTCTCATATCTAAAATTGATTTGCTTTATGCTTTATGCTTTACGTACACATTTAACAATCTATGAAAGCAAACTCTGCATATGAAATTCAAGATACAATAAAATAATCTTTTTTTTTGCTCAGCACTGTGAATTTTCATGATAATTGGTATTTGAATGAGTTGCAATAATTTCTACGAAAGACACCGCTCTTAAATCCTTTTCGAATTTCATGCTCCTTGTTTCAGGACAAGCGCGCCGAGCAACATAGCCCGGTGCAGCGCGAGGATCAGGATCAGGGCAGCGGTCATTCAGGGGGCTCAGCAGCGCCTGGCAACGCACAAAAGCAGCGACAAGCGCTGAGCAATGAGCGCAAGGTCATTTCACTGAACCGTCGCGATGACTTGGATGCCCGCAGCAGGCAGCAGCAACAGTTGCAGCAACATTTGCAGCAAAAGTTGCAACAGCAACAGCTGCAGCCAGGAGCTGGACGCAAGCAGTTGACCGCTGCGAAAATAGCGCCCGAGGCAAAGCGCAGCATTGCCGATCATTTGTCACCCTCCAGCAAACAGCATCATCAGCAGGCGCAGCAGCCGCTGCATGCTACAGGAGGAGGAGGAGGTGGAGGTGGAGGATCAGCGCAGCCCGGTCGAGCCGCTGGCGGCACACCGCCCCCAATCAGCAGTAGCGGCAATAAGGGGCGTGATACAATGCAAATAGGCATGTTGCGTCTGGGCACGCCCAGTGACGATGAGGTCGAGCTCGATTACGACGATGATGATCTGCTCCTCGATGAGGAGGATCGTCTGTTGGCAACACCATCGCCGCCGCCACCGCAGCCGACGCGTCAGGCCATCAAGCGTTCCGCGACTCCGGAAATGCACGCTGTAAAGCGAAATCACACAAAGATTGTGCGTAGTTCCGCAACAGTACCGTTGTCTGGCCAACGCCGTGTGGTGCTGAAGCCCTCAACCAGCAATGGCAGCAGCAGTGGTGGGGGTGGTGGCGGCAGCGGCAACGCCAGCTCCTCGGAACAGCAATCACACCGTCATCGGGAGCGTCGTCAGCGAGAGGAGCGAGCTGGAGCATCTGGGATATTTGATCGTTTGGAGAAGCGGCAGCAATCCTCGGGTGGAAGCAGCACCAGCGGAGGAGGCGGTAGCAATAGCGGCAAGCAGCGCGGCAAGGTGCCAACGCGGATTATCCTCAAGCATGTTTAAGGCCACAGCAGGAAAAGCAGCAGACGAAGGCGCCACGGAAAACTAATCCTTAAATCATAAGCATACCTAGATATATATATATGTATATACTCATATATATATATATATATATAGGAAGAAGTATATATGTTGTAAACTGTAGCAAAGGCGACTGCCGGGCAGAGGCTGCTGCAGCTGTCGCAGATTTTGTAATTGTTTAATCCTCACAAAAAAAGAAAAAAGAAGAAAACGAAACAAAACAAACATAAAGTTAGCAAAACGTACTTTGTAATTTAAAATGATATAATTATATGCAACTTTAACACACACACGCACACGCACCCAAAACACATGCAAACAAGCAAATCCAACAAATGAAAGTCGGAAGAGAAAACCCAATTTGACCATAGAAACCGTAAACAGAAGAAATTTTAATCTTAAGTTGTATGAGATACAAATTAAAAAAAAAAAAAAATGTTCGATGACGAAGTTAATAATGATAGTGTTTAACAAACATATATAGATATATATAAATATATATATATATATATATATATATATATATATATATAGCATAAGCTTAACAGTAATTGTACAAACGAAAAGTCTTAATGATGCGCATCTCTATATTATATACATATAAATGTACACCATACACCATATATATAACATGAAACATTTTTTTTTTTAATTGTTGTGTTTTCTGATAGTTTTCAGATACCCCCTCATATACACACACACACACCATTTGTCCCCTAATCGCCCAAGCTTGATAGCCACTCACCCATGCCACGAAACCTGTATTTGTATCTGTATCTAATTTAATTTCGATGTATTAGACTCTTTTTTTTTTTTGACACATAATTGATTAAATCGTGCGCTTTAAGCGCCGCAAATGCACACAGCCAAACACACACACACACTCAAACACACACATGCATACAAAAAATAGAACAGTAAAAATGTAGTTGCACGTCAAATGAATATAATGCAACTATTAATGTAGATTAATTAATAATGTAAGACCATAAAAAAAAAAAAAATATATATATATATAGCTAGTCTTAAGTCGCGTAATATTTGTATATGACCAGACGCATTGAGCGAATATTATATTAGATACTTTTTACACTTTACTTTTTTTTTAAGTAAATATCTTTTAGTTTGCCTGCATTGTAATTCTGTTTGCCTATGTGTGTAGTTATTTTTTATGTTAGTTTTTTTCTTTCTTTTTGTTTTGTTTTATTTTTTTTTTAACGTGCTCCCCCACCAGTTCAGTCTCCCATGTTTTGAATTTATGAATTCGGCCTCCATAGCTATCCATAAAAATAAAAAAAACCAAAAAATATATAGATAAATGAATAATAAGATGTGACTTTAAATACAAAGCACACAGAAGCAATACCATAATGGCCTGTTAATAATTAGGGGAATCCGTTAGAACCGCAAAATAACGCAGTTTTTTCCGTTTCCTGAAAAACATCCAAATAAGCAAAATCAATAAATACAAATAAAATAGTCATACATAAAACACATATATTGCTATATATCTACATAAATATAAATTTATTATTTTTATTTAACATATATATAGACAGATATATATACACATATATATATATACATAACTAATAATAAGTGATTGTACATACATATATTGATATGTTACTAACAATAGTGTGTGTGTGTGTGTGTGTGTGTGTGTGTAGCGCCTGCGAAAGCCATAAACAAATACACACTGAAATCGTTTAGAATCATTCGTTGCATATATCCACATATTTGTATGCAACAAGACATACAAATTGTTAAATTATTACAAATTTAATTCAAAAAGAATGGTAGAAGAAAAAAAGCACATTTTATTTCAAAAAGCATATTTTCAATTTTATTGCAACCAACTAAGCATAATTAAGCTGTATAGTATTTAACAAAAAAGAACAACTATAAAAGAGAAAACTATTCATCAAATTTAGGCATAGTCTTAAGCGCAAAGTTAAAAAAAAAAAAAAAAAAAAAAACAATTCTAATTATAAACCAACACAAACAAACCTTACATTATATAGTTAAACCACAGCATAAGATCTTAAATATTAAAACAAAAACAATGAGATTTGTAAAAGCTTAGAGAAAGGGAATCAAAGAACAAATCCGAAGCAAATCTTAATTAATAATCAATATATATACATATAAATATATAGCTGTGAGGTCCATTCTCAAAAGTATGTCATAACAATTTTGAAATGCTTTTGTTTTGCTTTAGTCGATTTAAAAGATAAGCGACAGTTTTCATTTGCCCAGATACATATATTCTATACTGATGTAATGCAATAAACATACAGCATGTGCTCTATGTGAATGTATCTGTAAGTTATAAGCTATGTGAGTTCACAAAATGCAAATCTTAAATGTCAATATATATATATACATATATATATATATATATATCAACAGCTACAATAAATGTACACGTATATGTGGGGTGTGTAAAATATGCTTTGTAAAACACCACACACAATAGTCAAACGTCTTAAAAACGGAAGAAGAAAAAAAAAACAGACAAAAGCGCATAAAACAATTCTTATATATTCAATAATAATACAATTAACATTATATAAAAATATATAATTTATGGACTAATAAATCGAAAGTATATTGCATATTATATAATATACCTTATATTACCTTAAAACCAACCTGTATATATATAACTCTATGCATAATAATTCATTTACAAAACAAAAGTAATCATTAAGATTTAAAAAAGAAAAATAGAAAACATCAAACGAATTCCAAAATACTCGTTCAAGTCGAAGTGGAATTGAGAATCCAAGCTACAAAACGAGTCTGTGATTAATTTATATATATATTTATATATATATATATATATATATATACATATTCGAATTATTTTTATGATTATTATTACGATTACAATTCCATTGCCTCTTAGTTATAATTGTTTAAGCCGCACACGTTTTCTATATATTTTTTATTATTATTTATTAAGCGTGTAAAAAATATGAAAGCAACAAAAACACAACGTTAGCAATTAAGTAATATATAAAATCAAATAAGTTGCTTTTTAAGAATCAGATTAGCACACACACACAAACACACACATACACCTACACTCTCTCTCACGCACACACACACACACACACTCACAGAGAAACATCTAGAAACTGGATATATATTTAAATATATATACACACATATATATATCTTTACTATGTATATATATATATATATAAACGGTAAATTATGTGTCTATAGTTACAAATTCATCGTGCACACATAAATGTGATAAAGAAACTGAAACCTAGTTGAAATTATATGTAAGTAGATGTAATTATTTATTTTTATATAAGTGTTTTTTTTTTTTAACAACTATGCCAGTTTGTCGTATCAAATCCCATTTCGAGTTTTGTAATTGAGACTCATCTTGAATTTAATTTTGATTGGCTTTCGAGTGATACAACCTTAAAGTACATGTGCATAACCACAAAAGTAGACAACTTTTTTTGATCTTTTTTTTTTTTTTTTTGCAAAATTCCAATTTTTATATACATATAAGAAAAAACAAAAACAAGAAATTGTTCTAAGCTAGCAAATTCGTTGTGTGCACGAAATTATTGTCATTTAAGCCGATGTATGAAACATTTTTTAGAGCCTAACTAGTCTAGCTTAGTACCTAGTCTTATTTATTTTTGATTTGTTATCTTTTGTAACACGGTTTACGTTTAATTGCTGTACAACCCCCGCCGTAGCCCCGTTACTACCCCACATACCACATACCCCCACGCATTCGCATATACAATTTTTTTTATTTTTATTTAACTCATGTGCAAAAGAAAAGAGAGATTCATCCAGCCAACCTCACTCACACAAACATATATTTCAGCCTGGCCAGCCAAGCGGAGTGGGTCTCGAGTGCGACAGCTTCTTTCGCTGCCTCTCTCTGTCGCTCTGCTAGCGGCTTGGCTGTATCGCTTAGCTAGTCTAGTCTATGTTAGGGGCGTATAGCGCTGTCTCTCATTTGCCCAGTTATTGCTGCAGCTGGTGAGCACAGCCATTAAGTTAATTTTTAAGCAAACTAAACTTAGACCAACAAAAGAAAACAAAAAAATATTTGACATAAACTAATTTTCTTTCAGCACTAAATTCTGTACAAAATGCGGTGAAAAAAAACGTACAAAAAACAAAAAAAAAAAAGAAAACAAATTAAGAGACAAAAGAGCTAAATTGCATAAATATGCAAATTAAAAAAAAAAAATTAAAAAAAAAACAATTGAAAATGAAAAGCGTAAAAACAAATACAAAGACACTAAAACATTCCATTAGTTGAATGAGTGTCATTCGAAGGACTCCGGCGTGCAGCTTGCTAAAGAAGAAGACTTAATAAATTTGATATATACAACAACACATAAATACTTATGTATATGTGTACATGTATATATTTTACAGCATTCAAATTGAAACATTGCATTTTTCATTTATTCACTTTAGTTTTGGGTTCATTTTGTGGGCTGCTTGAATCAACTTCTCCGTCATGTCAACGTTTTCATCAGGAATTTGTAATGTGTATCTGCAAAAGTGCATAATATTTCAAATAAGTATTTAATTGTTAACCATTTTATTCGGTTTCGGCCAAGTTATGTGAGTTGGAAGTTCATCATTATTCATTATTACTTTGCATTAATTTGGACTACCGATTTTTCTAAGACAAAGCTTATTTTTGTTAATTAGGACTTGCATTTTGACCCACAATTTCAACAGATATAAACTTGGTGACTTGTTGCAATGCTTGGGTTATGTTGTAAAACGCCAAAACTGTGAATTATGATAGCGCTGCGAACTTGACATTCGATCACTGTCGTCAACACAGACAATGCATGCCATGACAAACAATTTATGCTCGCTTCGCTTCGCTCTTCTCATTCCCATTCCCATTCCCAACCCCCCATTCAAAGCACAACAACACACATCACATCACATCACATCTCGTCACATCGGGCAGGTTCCATTACAGGCACAACAAAAAGATTTATGAAAATGTCATATATATATATATATATATATGGGCTCTTAACCCCAGACAGAACCTGTGCATTGTTTGAGCTTGTAACGATCTATTGAAATTCGCTCAACTGCTAAAATGAGTAGCACTTAACATTGGGTGGGTGGTTGTTGGTGGACTCAATGGAAACCTGAATTCATTTATAAACCAACACTAATAAAAATAAGAAACTATAAAATACAAAGCAGGTCAACTTCAACTAAATTGGAATTTCGATTCGATTATTTGGCGTACAACGGAAGAGATAATATATCAAAACTTTTAAATGGGATATAGTCCCAGTTTCCATCTATGAAGCCCTTTTAGAGAGTAACTGCAATTTGAGCGCTCTTTTGACTTAAGTGAATCTTGAAATGTGATGAGTGGGCGTGGTGTGCAGCTACTGCTACTATTTACACCCATACACACACGCACACACACACACTCATTTTATCCGACAAATTGTTGTGAGTTTCGCTAAAAATTGATTCTGTTTTCAGAAATTGCATTTCCATGGCCCGTTGCAGTTGCAGTTTCAGGTTGGAGCTAAGGTTTGCAGTCATCGCCAAATCTCAGGGCCAAGTCCAAGTGTGTGAGTTGTCTCTGAGGTTTTTCGCACAAGAATTATGCCCACATAAATGGATAGATAATTGTGGGAAACTTCTTGAAACTGAAAACAAAAAATCAAATAAACTATGCAATTATGCAAAGTGCAAGTTCAACGCCAAAACATCCAAGTACAAGTTTTTACATTCAAAATATTACTTTGTGTTTAATCAAATACTCCCCGCCCAACCCCAGACACGCCCTTGTTAGCCGCTTCATTTGCTATTCGCTGTAAAAATTGACTGCGGTTTCAGATTGCACAGTTTTTGTTTGTTTGTTTGTTTGTTATATTTTTTTTTTCGATTTCTTGAATTATAATTAAAAATGGGTTTGTAAATATAATTGGTGGGCGTGCGAAATGTGACAGCGAATGAGGCAATATTTGCTGTTGTTGTTGCTGTTGTTGCTGTTGTTGTTGTTGTTCGCGATTTGTTCAGTGAATTAGAACAACGCAATTGTTGTTTGGCTGTGTTAGTCAGTCAGACAAGTCGACGCCCAATTTAAACTCTTCTAACTTTTGCACTTAGCTAACAGCAACAAGACACACAAAAGGTTTTAGCCGACAAAATAAGAAAAAAACACTAACGGTACCGTCAGCCATTGACCAACTTTAAGGTGTAAACTACACTTGCCAAAATATTTTCAATAGATTTCATGTAAAATTTCTTCAAAATGTATTTTGAATTAATTTGAAAATCATCGATGTGCCTTTTTTCCGAAGAGCAACTGCAGTTTTTTGGGCCCATTTCTTATGCGATTTTATATGTCTGTTCAATTTTTGAATTTAGACCGAAAAATGGCCAAAATGCTTAAGTGTATAGTTTCTTGCAACACATTCTCTCAGTACATATTGCGTGGTACGACTGGGGGTGCGTGTGTGTGCCCAAAAAATTATGTCGCGCTGCCCGCGTTGAGGTTGTTGATTCATTCACGTGGCATTAAAGAATCATTGTGTGGCAGCAAGTAAAAATCACACACACACAGAAGAAATAAACTCACAGAGCACGCATCCCAGGGCCAGCCATGTCATTGGATAGATAGATAGTTGGCCAAGATGTTGCCAGGCCAAGTTAACACATTTCACATCTATCGAACAATGTACGGCACTCATTTTCAAAGCCTGTCATCTATGACAATTACGATTTCTACACAAGCTAAGCTAAATATACACTTATTCATATGTAAATAAATATAGTACACTCAACAAAAAAGTTGACAAATCTTACTTATTCACTTACTTATTCATATTGCATATATTTTGTGTTATTATTTTGATTTTAAGAAAATTATAGAATCGATCACAGCAGAAAACTTCGATGATCTATAATAAGATATTTCATGATCGTAAAATCATCTTTTTTTTCGCAGTGTATGTGCGGGCATATGTCAAGTAATTGCTGTTACATTTCCATTGAATTTGGTGAATTTGGCTAAGGTAATTTCAATTTGTAGGCTCAACAACAGCTCAACAGCTGGCCAGTGGGCCAATTCCGAATTGGAACTCATCTTCACAATTGAGTGCATTGTATGACATTTGCCAAAAAAGAAAAAAGTACACAGCCAAAAAAAGAATTACAAATTAGTAAAGCAAATACAAATTCGCTCATGTTTCAATTTTACTTTGTTGCAGCTTTTATTTTGAAAAGTGAAAAAGCACGTAAGATGATTCACTTGAAACACAAAATACAAAACACAAAACTTATCGTATCCGTTTCGTTTCTAGACGCAATATTTGTATTTATCTTCTGGCACCGATTTCATTTTTAAAGACTCTGATTATTGCCGTGTGTTATTGTTATTGTTATTGTTTTTGTTTTATGTTGGGCAATTAGTATAGCCAGGGTCAAGTTAATGATTCAATTAGCATTTGTCATCGCCACAGTTGCTGTTTTTTTAAGCTTTTTTTTTTTTTTTAGCTATTTTTGTTGTTGCCTGCACTTGTTGGCAATAGTTGGTAATTGTCGTAGATCGTGGGAATATTGATAATACTCACTCGTCGTCGGTTCCATGACATGACACTGTCATTAAATGCGCTTTGCAATCGGGCGATCGTCAACAGATATGTGAAAATCAAATCAAGCAATAAAAGCGAAAAATATACAGAAAACTGGGCAGCTGAGAGTAGTTGAAAGCGAGAAGGGTAAGATTTATTACTCTTATATATATATATATTATATCTAGTCTAGTCTAGTCTTATTATATCTCTATTTCTTTCAAGCTTACCCTCTCCCTTCTATTGTTATAAAATTATCGAGAAAAGGACTGATTTTAGTTGACAGCCTCATTTGTTTGTGATAACTCATCGCAGCAGATCTTTTACAAGTAAAAATATAAAAATATATATAAAAAAAAGATATGTTGTAAATTCACATCAATCGCATAATCATTTTGCAACATTTATTATCCCTTTGTATTAAAAAAAATAAAAATTGTTCGACAAATATCTTTATCTTGTTGAGTTACTTGCACTTTCCAGATTATGGTAAAGTTTGGAGTGTTTTCACTTGTCACTTTTATGATAAAACAGACATTTGCAGAAGTGAAAAGATTACAAATACCTATATTTGCTTAAAATTGAATGAAGTTTCCTTAAAAGAACATAAGTTGAGAGTATCTCTTTCTGGCATATTTTTTTCCTTGGATGATGTGAATTTTTGTTTGATTCTGGGGAAAAAATCAAAAACCCAACATCGTTTCCTAGCTTAAATTGATTTTGACCACAGTGAGTGGCTTATAGCTCGTGGCATGTGTCATACTTACTGCATTGTACTTGAGTGAAGCCACCCACAAATAAGTCGCAAGCGCCGCTCCAACTCTAAGCAGCCTTCTCTCTCTCGCTTGCTCTTGCTTGCTCTCTCCACTTCCACTCGTTGTGTGTGTGGAAATTTGTGGTGTATAAAAGCGAGTGTTGAGATGGCAGCAGAATCAATATACAAGTGTCTCTCGGCGCGTGCGCAGTAGCCAAGACTTCCAGGTTTCGGTTCCAAATCATCCACAGTTGAATCCACCAACCACCCAGGCGGCCACCACATGAAGTGCTTTGTAAGGGCCAAGCGATAAGCACTCTGCCAAATGGATTAATACCCAATCACAATCTTTGCAGTTTGTATTTGTTGCAGCCACGCTGCTCATGAGCGTCCAGGCGCAAGTCCAGGATCAGGCAGAGGATCAGGAGCAGGTGGCATCAGTGGCAGCACCGTCGTCGGCGGCGGTATCGGATCAGGTTAGCGCCGCCAGCAGCTATGCACCGCTGCAGGAGAAGAAGCAAGAGAAGCGCTATGTCGGTGGATACGGTGGTTATGGAGGAGGTGCATACGGAAGTGGTTATGGAGGTGGTTATGGAGGTGGTTATGGAGCTGGTTATGGTAGTGGTTACGGTAGCCACTATGGCAACTATGGAGCATATGGTTCGTCGCTGGGCGCTGGCGGTTATGGCAGCGATAGCTACTACAACCCCTATGGCTCACGTGGCTATGGAGGATTAGGTAAGTCCTGCAGCAAACTTTTAACTGAACTGGAGATTTGAACGGCAAAGACAATTTGATTTTCGTTCAGATCCCATCCTCAAACGGAACTAGACTTTAATTTTTTTTAAATACATTTTCCCAACGCTAGATGGCGGGGCTGGTTATGGAGGATATGGTTATGGCTCAACGTTAGGAGGTTATGGCTCCACTTTAGGAGGCTATGGCTCTTCCCTGGGCGGCTATGGCTCTTCCCTGGGCGGCTATGGTTCCAGCCTGGGCGGCTATGGCTCATCCTTGGGCGGCTATGGTTCCTCCTTGGGTGGAGGTGGATATTATGGCGCTGGAGGCTACGGCTCCAATCCCTATGCATTATCCTATTACAATTCTCGACTTGGCGCTGGCACCGGTTATCCTTATTACAACACACGCTTCGGCGCTGGCGGATATCCTTCCAGCTATTACACCAGCAACTATGGCAACAGCGTTGTGGGCGGTGGATTGGGAGCGTTGGGTGGCGTTCCTGCGCTGGGGTCTGGCGGTGCAGCTGGCTATAATTACGGAGCCGGCGTGTCGGGCACCATCTACTAGGAACAGCATCAGATCGAACCACACTTAAGCATAGTGCAATTTACATTTTTTTTCCACCCATATATTTTTTTTTAACTTAATATTGTATATTTAAATGTATGTAAAACGAAATAAGCAAACAAAAACTGTTTTTCATTTAATGGCATTATGCATTCACGATGAATTACCATTTTAGATACAGATAGATATATTTACATTAGGTAGTAGTAGATATATTACATTAGGCGATTTTGCTGCAAAACAAAAGCCAGAATCGAGGTCAACCAAGGCAAGGATGATGCAATTATAAATATGGAATATATAGAGACTTACAAATAAAGAAACACCTTGGGGCTCAAAAGTCTCATTTCTATATCGGTTGGGAAATATAATCACTCATCATTGGGTTCCTTTCAGGCTGCTGTGCTGCATAGGATAAAATGTGCCTAGGAACATAAATGTGGTTGTTGCATTGGCTAAACGAGCATCAAGAAAAATATGCTGCATACTTCTTATGGGACAACGCCATAAAGGAAAGGTTTGTAAATAGGCTATTTCTCTGCAGCTCTTTTTTATCATTGTGTTCCTTGCAGGCTGCTGTGCTGCTTAGGATAAAATGTGCCTAGGAACAGACATGTGGTTGTTGCATTGGGTAAACGAGCATCAAGAAAAGTGCAAAAAAATGGATTCCGCAATTTGGCAAAAATCCGGACGCCGGATTTTGTTGACGAACACGGTTAACTTAGAAATTTAAATTAATATTAGATGCGTGAATAAATAAATACATTAACACAAATAACGAATAGCTTAAAATAACGTTCAACAAATTTGCTTAACCTAACATTCAACATTTACATAAATATACTGGAGGAGGGGTGGGTGTGCTGGAGCATTGCTCACATGCGCGCAGTCGACTCGCACTCGACAGGGCGTGGATCTGACCACGACCTGCCTCACTGCGTTTTTTCTTTTCCACATGTGTTCTTGTCCCTAACCCCCACCTTGCGGAGAATGTCCTCACATGCAACGCTGGCGTTGCTGACCCTGCCAACTTGCTCCCGCTTTTCAGCAATGTGGCCCTTCAAATCTCACTTTTGGTTGTGGCATACGATAATTGAGTATCGATATGTCTGCAAATGCAACATGCATAAAAGAAGAATCGAAGAATAACTGGGCTATTGGACTGGAATTTGAATTTTTTAAATCTTAACGAATTTTATCGACATTTTTTTAAAATAAATCTAGCTGCTTACCAGGTAAATATACAATATAGTGAACCGGTTCACCAGCTTCAGATTACTTCGATTCAAATATGTTCCAGATAGGAACAATATTTCCAATCGCCTTTGTGAACAGAGCAGCCCTAGCGCCTCACGTCAAAGTTAAGTCACTTGTCAGTGAGTTGGTTGACAGATACTGACTTGAGAAAATTAGTCGACTCACGATTAGAAAAAGGTTTGACGAAAAGGAGTAAATTATCAAAGCGGCAGCAACTACAACAAGAAGAACAACAGGACAACAATGGAGGCAATTAAGAAGGGCACAGCTCAAGCAGAGGCTGCTGGCAATGAAACAGCGGTCAACAATTCAGTTTTACCAGGTCGTGATGGCGACGACAACATCGAATCAAACAAGGAGAATATGCAGATCAGCCGCAAGCGCAAAGTGGACAACAGCCTCATGAAAAATGATAAGAAAAAGCGCAAGCCGCTGTCGAATATAATGAATTTTATGGAAGAGGATCAGCATGAACAGCAGCAAGTACAAGCGCCCAGGGATGCTAAGGACAATGACAATGTGACCGTGGCCGTCGTTGGCGCAGCCCCAGCAGCCCCCTCGATGCTCGACAAGGTCGAGAACGCACTGACGCGTCCAGAGACGCTCAAGTCACCAGTGGCCGCCGAGCAACCAATGGCCGTGCCCATATCGATGCCGGATGCAGTGCCGCAGCCGTTGTTCAAGGTGCCGGCACCGCCGCCACCAAAAGCTGCCAGGAAAAGCCGACGTCGACAAGACTGAGGAGGACAACTCCTCCGACGAATCGATGGATCAGACAACTTGCAACAAAAGACTGAACAGCCAACGGTATAAAATATATGCGAGTAAATAACATGTGTGTATATAATACTTGTTGGCATTATTCACCTTCTGTATTCTGTTTGTCTGAGCTCATTTATAAATAAATATTTACATTGTCAAATTTTACACAAATATTTAATAATTTGCGGTAATTAATTACTAGCATTTAAACACAATTCACCTTAAAATAAATGAAATGCATAAAAGAAGAATCGAAGAATAACTGGGCTATTGGACTGGAATTTGAATTTCTTAAATCTTAACGAATTTTATGGACATTTTTTTAAAATAAATCTAGCTGTTTACCAGGTAAATATACAATATAGTGAACCGGTTCACCAGCTTCAGATTACTTCGATTCAAATATGTTCCAGATAGGAACAATATTTCCAAGCGCAGAGCAGCCCTAGCGCCACACGTCAAAGTTAAGTCACTTGTCAGTGAGTTGGTTGACAGATACTGACTTGAGAAAATTAGTCGACTCACGATTAGAAAAAGGTTTGACGAAAAGGAGTAAATTATCAAAGCGGCAGCAACTACAACAAGAAGAACAACAGGACAACAATGGAGGCAATTAAGAAGGGCACAGCTCAAGCAGAGGCTGCTGGCAATGAAACAGCGGTCAACAATTCAGTTTTACCAGGTCGTGATGGCGACGACAACATCGAATCAAACAAGGAGAATATGCAGATCAGCCGCAAGCGCAAAGTGGACAACAGCCTCATGAAAAACGATAAGAAAAAGCGCAAGCCGCTGTCGAATATAATGAATTTTATGGAAGAGGATCAGCATGAACAGCAGCAAGTACAAGCGCCCAGGGATGCTAAGGACAATGACAATGTGGCCGTGGCCGTCGTTGGCGCAGCCCCAGCAGCCCCCTCGATGCTCGACAAGGTCGAGAACGCACTGACGCGTCCAGAGACGCTTAAGTCACCAGTGGCCGCCGAGCAACCAATGGCCGTGCCCATATCGATGCCGGATGCAGTGCCGCAGCCGTTGTTCAAGGTGCCGGCACCGCCGCCACCAAAAGCTGCCAGGAAAAGCCGACGTCGACAAGACTGAGGAGGACAACTCCTCCGGCGATTCGATGGGTCTCTCGGACAACTGCAACAAAACACTGAACAGCCAACGGTATAAAATATATGCGAGTAAATAACATGTGTGTATATAATACTTGTGTATATAATAAGTGAGTGTATATATGTATAAATATATATGTATATATGATTGGTTGCATTTCATGTATCACAATTCGTGGAATGCTTTGTGGGAGTCCTTATAGGGTCCATGGGTGTGCTTGATCACCCAGAAGTTGTCGATGACTTTGCCTCCTTTATCATCCGACACCTGCTCGAAGTACAAATGGGTCGCATTGTGCGCCTTGAGTCGCAGATAGCCATAGTCCTGGCTGTGAAATGCGCTCCACGGGGGCATTTTCTTGAAGAATGGCTCGCGACCCTCCTGATTGCCAGCCGCACCCGAGATGATGTGAACAGGTGCGCCCGGATTCACATACGGTTCCGCAAGAGAACCATTGTAAACGGTATAATTGTACATGGGCCACATGCGCTCGTAGCAATGCTCGTGGGCCCAGAGCTCCACATCCACGCCATATTTGTAGAAGAGCGGCTCCAGGCCAAAGAAATTGAGTCCAGGTAATCCCTTGCGGACGACAGTTTCATGTTTGGCACAATCGTCGCCATTGTTATTGCTGCAATACATTGGCCGATGTCCAAAGGTAATAATCCAGGGTCGCTTTGCCCGATTCTCTGGTTTGCTGGCCTCTATCAGATCGCGCTCCAGCCAGTCGTATTGCATGACAATTGGCTTAAGGCCGAACTGCGTAAAATAGTAGACCTCCGTGCTGAAGCCGATAAAGTGTACTGGCCCCAGATCAAAGCTATAGAAGAGATTATCATTCCCGCCCGGCATGCTGAATCGATTTGTGTAGTGCGAGAAATTGCTGCGATTGGATTGGAAACCAAGATTAAACAATGCACTATGTGCAACTATATAGCAACTAGAGATGGGATCGAAACAGTAGTTCTTCTTCTACTCCTTTCCTCTTCCCGCTTCCTAATATGAATATGTTGCATGTAGCACAGTTTTTATTTGTAATGCGTTTTATTTAGACTTTACTGCATATACTTAAACAACAACAAATTCACAAACAACTTTGAGGCAAGAGATTTTTAGGAATAGGCACCGTGTTTATCTTTGATTACCCAGAAGGAGTCGACTATTTGGCCATCTTTGTCATCGGAGACCTGCTCGAAATACAGATGCGTCGCATTGTGGGCCTTAAGCCGGGTGTAGCCATAGTCCTGGAAGTAATCCATAAAGCAGACATTGAGTCGCAGTAATTTAACAGATTGAAAATTCAATTACTAAATCTTTCCAGATGCAATTCAATTTACTTACATTGCTATGGAACGCATTCCAATCGGGCAGATTGGTTGAGAAGGGCTCGCGATTCTCATTGCAGCCGGCCGAGCCTGTTATGATCTGAATGGGTGCTTTGGGATTTGTGTATGGTGCATCGGTGCTGCCATTATAGACCTTAAAATCATAAATGGGCCACAGGCGCGTATAGAAATGCTCGTGAGCAAAGAACTCTACATCGACGCCATGCTTGTAGAACAAATCCTCCAATCCAAACCATTTTAACAGTGGCAATCCCTGGCGTATGTACGTCTCCAGATTCCCATCGCAGTCGTATTCCTTGTCATCGCTGCAGTACATCGGCCGATGTCCATATGTGATAATCCATGGACGCTTTGCCCGATTCTCTGGCAGATTCGCTTCAGCTAGATCCTGTTCCAGCCACTCGAACTGCTTGGTCAGTAACTTCATGCCATAGTCTAGAAAGTAGTAGACCTCCGTCGAGAAGGACACAAAGTGCACCGGACCCATATTGAAGCTATACCACAAACTGTCCCCCTCCCCAGGCATATTGAAGCGTGTGCGATAATTGGAGAAGTTGCTGCGTTGTTCAATAAAAGGAAGACAGCACAGGCTAAGAATTGATGTATTGCAAAATCAAACTGAATCACTTACTACTTCTCCTCATGATTGCCTGGACAGACCATATAGGGGACATAGGCGGCGACCGTTTCAATTTGACGCATAAACTCATCGCCGACTCGGGCATCGTTGGTGTCCATATCATATGCAAAGTCGCCCACATGGATTATCGCATCGTACATGCCGTGCTGCGTGTCCTGTTGCAAACGGGCCAAGGATTGGGCATTCTCATTGCCCATATCTCCGTAAATGGCTAAGGAAGGCGACCACTTATCGCCTGCCGGTGGCGTCTTGAAGTTATAGACGGCTGACCAGCCAAGATTGCTGCCACAGCTGTACTCGTAGCGGGTGTCCGGCTTCAAAGAGGTCAGCGTCACCTTGTGAATATATTGAGTGCGAGCCTGTTTGCCGCCATCCTGGAAACGCTGCCATATGCCACTAACGATGATCAGCTTGTCGTGGATATAGTGCTCGGCGAAGTTGACCACCGATTGATTTGTGGAGCTGCGTGTTGACCAAGTCACCACAATGTCCTGCAGGCTGTCTGTTGTGGTTGTTGTAGTTGTTTTTTGATAGGATGCAATAAAAATGAATAACAATATATATATATATATATATAGGTATCGTATAAAATATATGCGAGTAAATAACATGTGTGTATATAATACTTGTGTACATAATACGTGTTGGCATTATTCACCTTCTGTATTCTGTTTGTCTGAGCACATTTATAACTAAATATTTCCATTGTCAAATTTTGTACAAATATTTAATAATTTTCGGTAATTAATTACTAGCATTTAAACACAATTCACCTTAAAATAAATGAAATGCATAAAAGAAGAATCGAAGAATAACTGGGCTATTGGACTGGAATTTGAATTTTTTGAATCTTAACGAATTTTATCGACATTTTTTTTTAAATAAATCTACCTGTTTACCAGGTAAATATACAATATAGTGAACCGGTTCACCAGCTTCAGATTACTTCGATTCAAATATGTTCCAGATAGGAACAATATTTCCAATCGCCTTTGTGAACAGAGCAGCCCTAGCGCCACACGTCAAAGTTAAGTCACTTGTCAGTGAGTTGGTTGACAGATACTGACTTGAGAAAATTAGTCGACTCACGATTAGAAAAAGGTTTGACGAAAAGGAGTAAATTATCAAAGCGGCAGCAACTACAACAAGAAGAACAACAGGACAACAATGGAGGCAATTAAGAAGGACACAGCTCAAGCAGAGGCTGCTGGCAATGAAACAGCGGTCAACAATTCAGTTTTACCAGGTCGTGATGGCGACGACAACATCGAATCAAACAAGGAGAATATGCAGATCAGCCGCAAGCGCAAAGTGGACAACAGCCTCATGAAAAATGATAAGAAAAAGCGCAAGCCGCTTCCGAATATAATGAATTCTATGGAAGAGGATCAGCATGAACAGCAGCAAGTACAAGCGGCCTGCGACGCTAAGGACAATGACAATGTGACCGTGGCCGTCGTTGGCGCAGCCCCAGCAGCCCCCTCGATGCTCGACAAGGTCGAGACGGCACTGACGCGTCCAGAGACGCTTAAGTCACCAGTGGCCGCCGAGCAACCAATGGCCGTGCCCATATCGATGCTGGATGCAGTGCCGCAGCCGTTGTTCAAGGTGCCGGCACCGCCGCCACCAAAAGCTGCTAGGAAAAGCCGACGTCGTCAACAAGACTGAGGAGGACAACTGCTCCGGCGAATCGATGGATCGGACAACTTGCAACAAAAGACTGAACAGCCAACGGTATAAAATATATGCGAGTAAATAACATGTGTGTATATAATACTTGTGTATATAATAAGTGAGTGTATATATGTATAAATATATATGTATATATGCTTGGTTGCATTTCATGTATCACAATTCGTGGAATGCTTTGTGGGAGTCCTTATAGGGTCCATGGGTGTGCTTGATCACCCAGAAGTTGTCGATGACTTTGCCTCCTTTATCATCCGACACCTGCTCGAAGTACAAATGGGTCGCATTGTGCGCCTTGAGTCGCAGATAGCCATAGTCCTGGCTGTGAAATGCGCTCCACGGGGGCATTTTCTTGAAGAATGGCTCGCGACCCTCCTGATTGCCAGCCGCACCCGAGATGATGTGAACAGGTGCGCCCGGATTCACATACGGTTCCGCAAGAGAACCATTGTAAACGGTATAATTGTACATGGGCCACATGCGCTCGTAGCAATGCTCGTGGGCCCAGAGCTCCACATCCACGCCATATTTGTAGAAGAGCGGCTCCAGGCCAAAGAAATTGAGTCCAGGCAATCCCTTGCGGACGACAGTTTCATGTTTGGCACAATCGTCGCCATTGTTATTGCTGCAATACATTGGCCGATGTCCAAAGGTAATAATCCAGGGTCGCTTTGCCCGATTCTCTAGTTTGCTGGCCTCTATCAGATCGCGCTCCAGCCAGTCGTATTGCATGACAATTGGCTTAAGGCCGAACTGCGTAAAATAGTAGACCTCCGTGCTGAAGCCGATAAAGTGTACCGGCCCCAGATCAAAGCTATAGAAGAGATTATCATTCCCGCCCGGCATGCTGAAGCGATTTGTGTAGTGCGAGAAATTGCTGCGATTGGATTGGAAACCAAGATTAAACAATGCACTATGTGCAACTATATAGCAACTAGAGATGGGATCGAAACAGTAGTTCTTCTTCTTCTTCTTCATCTCCTTTTCTCTTCCCGCTTCCCATTCCCATCTCTATTCGCCAGTTATGACACACTTACTACTTCTCCTCGTGATTGCCCACGCAGACCATATAGGGGACATAGGCGGCAATCGTTTCCACTTGACGCATAAACTCATTTCCAACTTCGCCATTCTCATGGCACATATCGTAGGCAAAGTCACCCACATGGAGAATGGCATCGTATTTACCCAACTGTGTCTCCCGTTGCAGTGCTGGGAGAGAGGCGGCATTCACCACGCCCATATCGCCGTAAATGGCCAGCGATGGTGACCAGTTGCTATGGTTGAATGTTGTGCGGAACCAGTAGATGGCCGACCAGCCCAATTGGCTGCCACAATGATAACGATATGTTGTATTTGCTTGCAGCTGTGCCAGCGTCACCTGCGGATCCACAGTGCCTCGATTATAAGTATACAAAAATGCTATATTTGACATCGCAACTGGTCTACTTACGCGATGGATGTATTGTGTGGCCTTCTGGGCGCCGCCATCAACAAATTTGTTGGGTCCTTGGGGCGATTTAGCAATGTGCTCATCGATGGCATCGATGCCATATTCGCATATCGAATCATTTGTATTGTTGCGCGTATTCCAGGTGACGACAATGTCCAGCACAGTTTCTGGGAGAAGTACACGGCGCACGTGTTGGCATTATTCACTTTCTGTATTCTGTTTGAGCACATTTATAACTAAATATTTACATTGTCAAATTTTGTACAAATATTTAATAATTTGCGGTAATTAATTACTAGCAACTAAACACAATTCACCTTAAAATAAATGAAATGCATAAAAGAAGAATCGAAGAATAACTGGGCTATTGGACTGGAATTTGAATTTTTTAAATCTTAACGAATTTTATCGACATTTTTTTTAAATAAATCTAATCTTTACCAGATAAATATACAATATAGTGAACCGGTTCACCAGCTTCAGATTACTTCTATTCAAATATGTTCCAGATAGGAACAATATTTCCAATCGCCTTTGTGAACAGAGCAGCCCTAGCGCCACACGTCAAAGTTAAGTCACTTGTCAGTGAGTTGGTTGACAGATACTGACTTGAGAAAATTAGTCGACTCACGATTAGAAAAAGGTTTGACGAAAAGGAGTAAATTATCAAAGCGGCAGCAACTACAACAAGAAGAACAACAGGACAACAATGGAGGCAATTAAGAAGGGCACAGCTCAAGCAGAGGCTGCTGGCAATGAAACAGCGGTCAACAATTCAGTTTTACCAGGTCGTGATGGCGACGACAACATCGAATCAAACAAGGAGAATATGCAGATCAGCCGCAAGCGCAAAGTGGACAACAGCCTCATGAAAAATGATAAGAAAAAGCGCAAGCCGCTGTCGAATATAATGAATTTTATGGAATTGGATCAGCATGAACAGCAGCAAGTACAAGCGGCCTGGGATGCTAAGGACAATGACAATGTGACCGTGGCCGTCGTTGGCGCAGCCTCAGCAGCCCCCTCGATGCTCGACAAGGTCGAGAAGGCACTGACGCGTCCAGAGACGCTTAAGTCACCAGTGGCCGCCGAGCAACCAATGGCCGTGCCCATATCGATGCCGGATGCAGTGCCGCAGCCGTTGTTCAAGGTGCCGGCATCGTCGCCACCAAAACTGCCAGCAGCAGCGGATGTCGTTAACAAAACTGAGGAGGACAACGCCTCCGGCGAATCGATGGTTCTCTCGGACAACTTGCAACAAAAGACTGAACAGCCAACGGCAGTACAGCAATTGCCGCCAGTGCCGCCTGTGCCCTCGGATGTGGAGGACTTTGATCTCAAGAATTGGGATGATCCGCTTCAGGTCTCCCACTATGCCCAGGATATATTCAACTATCTCAAGCATCGTGAGTCAGAGTTCCGTATAGGCGATTATATGCCGAAGCAAGCACATTTGACCGTCTACCGTCGAGCACTGCTCGTCGACGCAATGGTCGACATCCACGAGTTATTTAAACTCAACCATGAGACGCTCTATTTGGCTGTGAAAATCGTCGATCTCTATTTGTGCCGCAAAGAGATCAAGGAGGAGAACCTGGTGTTGTTGGGCGACGCTGCCATCCTTATTGCCAGCAAATATGGTGACCTTGATCCGCCCTCAGTTAAGGATTTCATGATCGTTTGCGATGGAGCGTACACTAAAAATGATCTGCTTAAAATGGAGTTGGAAACGTTAAGCACCATCAATTTTAATCTTGGCATACCAGTCTCGTTCCGCTTCCTCAGCCGCTTTGCCCGGTGTGCCAAGGTGCCGTTGCCCATTGTGAAATTGGCTCGTTATATATTGGAGCTATCGTTGACGGAATATGTAACGATCGGATTTAGTGACTCAAAGATGGCATCGGCTGCTCTATATATGGCGTTGCGCATGCATGACGGCATCGCAAAGTTGAATCAAAAGATCTGGAGCCCAACGCTGATCTACTATACGACCTATCAGTTGGTGGATTTTGCCGGGATTATTCCCTTGCTGAATGCGGGACTGCATCGCAAGACACTGGCCCCAACCCTGACGATACGCAACAAGTATTCACGAAAGAAATTTCTTCGGGTGACCAAAGTGCCGCTGCTCAGCAATCGGGACATGTTCCACGCCAATCTCGATCTGAACGTTGGCAACAAAAGCACTGAATGAGAATATATCAAGAATAACGCTGATTTACAATTAATAATTAATTTCATTTCATTCCATTTACAACTGACACCCAACCATAAATAAAACTATATCAATCATTATTAAATGCTATGCTTTGCTATATTTCTAAACTTAGCAAAAAAAAAAAATAAAAATAAAAATAACAATCAATTTTACACACCTCAATTCAGTTAATCGTTTCTTATGTTTGATAAGTTAGCAGCGTCTTAAGTGAAAATCAATCCCATTTGATATGGAAAATTGTAAGCGTTACAAAATGCAAGATTTTGCAGTTGCAGACTGCTTATAAAATGCATGTATATGCATACATGCTGGAGATGTCGGCACAGGGGCACACCAATGGGTGTGTGTTGTGCTCGTTAACAGATAACACTTACATATAATAAAATTTGCTAATTTAAGGAGTGTTTACAGTTATCAGATATACTGGGGTTGCAGTTACAGTTGCAGTTGCAGTCACAGTTGCAGTTACAGTTGCAGTTACAGTTGCTGTGTGGAATTATATACTTTACGAGCTAATAGAATGTGCGCTTGTAATACTGCTAGTTGCATCACTGTGGATATTTCTTTGTGTTTCTGTCTGTGTGTGTGTGTTTGTGCCTATTTGTTGTTGTTGTTCGGTTTTGTCCAGCTACGCTACTATGAAGGATCACTGTAGGCGCCATGCTGTGATTTAATAAGCCAGAATTGATCGATAATGGCGCCCTGCTTATCATCGGACACTTGCTCAAAGTACAAATGCGTTCGATTGTGGGCCTTCAAGCGCGTATAGCCATAGTCCTGGCTGTGGAATGCGCTCCACTCGGGTATTTTGCCCTTGAACGGCTCCCGACCCTCCTTGCAACCGGCGGAGCCAGTGATTATATGCACCGGTGCCCGGGGATTCTCATAGGGTGAGGCGAATGTTCCGTTGCGCACCTTGTAGTCGTAAATGGGCCAGAGGCGCTCGTAGGAGTGCTCATGCGCCCATATTGCCACATCCACTCCATACTTATAGAGCAGCGGCTCCAGGCCAAACAAGTGCAAAAATGGCCAACCGACGCGCGTCAGCGTCTCCGAGTGGGTGCAATCGTTGTCGTTCTCATTGCTGCAGTACATCGGCCGATGGCCATAGAGGACAATCCAAGGTCGTTGCGCACGATTCTCTGGCAGATTGGCCGCCTCCAGATCCCGCCGAAGCCACTCGAACTGAAAGATGAGCGTCTTTATGCCATAGTTGAGGAAGTAGTAGACCTCCGTGGAGATGCCAATGAAGTGCACCGGCCCCAAATCGAAGCTGTAGAACAGATTCTCTGTGCCACCCGGCATGCTGAAGCGGGCCCGATAATTTGAGAAGTTGCTGCAAGGCAGCTTGATTAAATCTTCTGTTTTTTTTTTTGTTTTTCTAATCTGTGGCCAACAAACAACTTACAACTTCTCCTCGTGATTGCCCGGCACAACCATATAGGGGACATAAGCGGCGACCGTTTCAATTTGACGCATAAACTCATCCCCGACTTGAGCATTCTTCGAATTCATATCGTATGCAAAGTCTCCCACATGGATGATCGCATCGTACATGCCCAGTTGTGTCTCCTGCTGCAGTCGGGCCAAAGATTGAGCATTCTCATTACCCATATCGCCATAGATGGCAAGAGTCGGTGACCAGTTGGCATCGGGGCTGGGCACCGTACGGAATTCATATTTCGCTGACCAGCCAAGTTCACTGCCGCAGTGATAAATATAGCTACTATTCGCTTTCAGCTCCCTAAGCGTAACCTAAATTCCAAAAGTAGAGTGCCTTGAAGCTGTTATCTTTGTTCATATATATATAGCTGTTAGTGTGTGTTTTTTTGCGAGTGTGTGTGTGCGTTTGCGTGTGTGTCGAATGTCTGTGTATTGCGTACCCTGTGGATATATTGGGTCATCTGCTTGCGACCGCCATCGACAAACTTGATGGCCTGCTGTCCTGTGGCGCGCTGCGTCAGATCTTCGCTCAGTCCATATTCGACAACGCTGTCGGCAGATGTTGGTGGCAAGCCGCGCGTTGACCAAGTGACAACAATTTCGCTGGCGGTGCGTTCTAAATTAACAGGCAGCAAAGGAAGAGAAACAAACAAATACAAAAGAGAAAAACAATTCTTGAGTTTAAAAGCCAAACACAAAAAAATAATCAGTGTACAAATTTCAAATGCAAATCGCATGTAAAGAAGAATGCAAATAGTTTTTGTCAAATTTAATGGCATGTTTTTCGATTTGTTGTTTTTTGCTCCTTGTTTGCTTATCACGCTCTTCTAGCACATCCACATACACACACACACACAAGCTCTAATTAGACTCTAGTTTGTGTGGCCTTATTAGCATATGTTTTATATATATATATATATATATATATATATATGTATATGACGCATATATATAGTACGCCACATTTATCAGCAAATCAGCCTTTGCTCTAATTTGAGGCTGACTTTGTACAATGATTATTTTATAACTGGTTGTTGTTATTGTTGTTTTGTGTGTGTTTCGTTGGCGGTTTTATGGCCCAGTGTGAATAACTGCAACTGTAACTGCAATTTCTATGTGTGGGCAAAAGAGAGAAAAAAACAAATGGGGGGCGGAAAGGAATTGACACACGATATCTATTGCGCAGCACTTTGGGACAATGACAAATCAAACAAAAAAATAAATAAATAAATTGAACAAAGCGCTGATGCAGATAATTTACAGTTATTAAAGCAAAAATGCCGGTTTAAAGATACACTTTTTTTTATTTACATTTTTTTTTTACGGGTTTAAAAGGTGAACAAACTTGCATTTGTGCAGTTTGACCTTTATGTTTGTAGTTACAGAATTGAATTCACAACCCATATACTTGCATAGATATACCACATACACATATAAAATAAGTGCAAAAATAAATGAATATAAAATGGCGTTGCACATACCTCCAAATGATAGGTGCACCTGCTCCGGCTGATAGTGCACAATGTTTACATCATGTTTATCCTGCAGCATTTTCTGCTGTACAGCGTTGTCCTGTGCCTGGTTCCATTGAAATGAGCTGGCGACGTAGAGCGACAGCCCGAGGAACAACAATGTCAAATTTAACATTGCTGTTGTTGTTTGTATTTCTACTACTTTTTATATATTTTTAGATACGAGAAATGACATTAAAAAATCTGTGTATGAAGTACAAAAAGTCTACAGTTAACTCACATCGCTTCGCTTCGTTGTGTTTCACGTTTAATAAGATTGTATACAAATTATGGCTGATAGCTGCAAAAAATTATGAGTGGAAAAAATTGAATTGTTCAGCAATTTATAGAACAACAAACCACTAGTAAAGCAGAGGAGCTGTTGCTTCTTATCGATGTTTCGATATTCCGAACTTTTAGACGATAGTTAGTAGAGTGACCATGCACGCAGTGGGCACCTTGATCTGCTTTCAAAATTTAAAAAAAGCAGAAACCAAGCAAGCTTGTGTCGCCTTTATTGTTATTTGTCTGTGGCTTATTATTATCTTTAAACATTTTTTCGGCTCAACATAAGAAAACATTATTTGTGAAATTTAAAAAATAGATTTGGTATGGCCAGTTTTTCTGACGACTTCGTAACATTGACACAGTTGAATTGTGTTCAGCAATGCAGTGCACTATTGCAGAGTCCGAAGCCGCGAAATTATTTAACGGCCGCCACATTATTGGGCCTTTACTGCGGTGTTCTCATTTATCGTTCCTACCGTAGTTACTTGGCGGGACTGGAGGCCAAAGATGGGGAAACACAAAATGACGAAATAGAAGAGGTGGCAATGACCTATGAAACATCCAACATTTTCGATGTACCAATTGTGGAACGCCACGAGTTCCCCTTGCCGAATATTAATGAACCAGCTCTGATGGAACAACACTCAAATGACGAGGTTCTAATAACGGCATCCTAAAGGACGATCAAATCTCTTACAAATTGTAACCAACTAATAAACCAAATTGAATACTGCTCGTAATACTTTGCATTTATTTTATATTCGTATATTAACGGTAATTTCTACGGAATTGTACTGCATTTAAATAGTTTATGACAGTTGTTGAATCTTTGTTCATACTCGCTCGAGTTGCTATTAAATCAAAATAGCAACATTATCAATAATATATATATATATATATATATATATATATATATATATATATATATATATATATATATATATATATATATATATATATAGGTGAAGCATAGCTCGGAATTTGGAAGGACTAATGCAATTTGTTGGATGGCAAACAATTTGGCAAATATTAAGATCTAGCCACACTTTACTAAGTGGAATACATTGCGTACTTAGCTTTAAACGTAAATATATAAAATATTTACAGTAGTCGGTCGATAATGATAATTTTTCATACAAAAAAAAAAGGAAAACAAATTTTTAAAAAATCATTGTATGATAATTAAAAATATTTGTTTTGAATTTTTGGCGATGCCAATTTTTGACCGATAACTGTATTATAATTTGTATAATAATATAACTATAGTTAATAGGTAGAGGCTATTATAAATATACAAATTTAGTGGCAATAATATAGACGAAGCTACAAACTAGAAAACACTTGAGAGACATTAGTTTTCAGCGCCAGCACCACTTCCGCTTCCGGTATTGCTGCTCTGCTTCCGTCCCGGAAATCCTTCGGGCATGCTGCTCTTGCGCTGCGCCTGTGAGATTTGCACAATGCGCGACAATGGGGAATGAGTGCTGCTGGTGCTCGGACGCATCAGCGATGAGGGCAGCAATCTGGCTGCAGAGTTGCCCGCCTCATCTTGGCCAGAACTCGAGCCGCTTGCTGCTAGTGGTGAGGTGGGTGGCGGCTGTTCGCGTGCCAGGGGCGAGGGACGCAGTGAGAGGCGACGCTGCAGCGCTGTCTGTGAGCTGGACAGCAGCGAGACGGGCTCCTCGTTGAGACAGACACCAGGGGGAGGCGCCTTTCCCGGTGGGATCTGCAGCGCTGTTGGACGCACGCTGAAACGGCGCCTGAACTTCGACTGGGCCATAATTGGCGTTGAGCTGGTGGTGGGCGCGGCTGTGCTGCTACCGCTGGCAGTGCTGGGGCCGGTACCAGTGCCAGTGGGCACCGCTCTCTCCGTGTAGCTGGGCGGCGGCTCCAGCACTTGCAGACCCGATCCCCGCCTGCCCGTTGGCGACATCGTTCCCACAATGGTGGAGCGACGGGCGTATAAGCGATTCGCAGCCGTTGCCTGCAAGTAACGCGTTTGATCGCCCGCAAAGAGCGACAGAATCGGTGGCAGCTGGGGCGGATCCAGGCCAGCGTTGCCCAACTTGCGCTGCTTCTTGCTCAGCTTTGAGGAGTTTGATGACGCCGTCTGCTGTTGGTGCTCATCGAGTGCGGCATGGGTGTGCACCACCTCCAGCGCACGTATGAGATCCGCAATTGTGGTCTGTTCCAGCACATCCATATCTTTATCGGATGTCACCGAAAATATGCTTGAGCGACGCGGCGTCATCGAGTTAGATGATTGTCCACCCATCGCAGGGAAAAGGCTACCCCTTCGGGCGGCAACAGCTGCCATTGCCGCCGAACCGGAGCCGCGTCGCTGCATCTGCATCTGGAGAGATGCAGCTGTCGTTGGTGGATACATGCTGCCACGTCTGGCGGCCAGCGCCGGATTCTGCGTATAAATTGACTCCCGACGTCGCCTGCCAGCGGCGGCAGCTCCAGCCGCAGATTTGCGCTGATAGGCCGTCGTGGAGTTGAAGGTCGCCTGCTCGGAGTCATCCAGCTGGAAGGCCGGATTGGAGACGCCACCATTGCCCATGCCATTGCCAGAAGCCAGGCTCGTATTGGAGTCGAAAGCTGGCGGTGGAATGCGTCCATTTCGCACATATGATTGACTGGCACCCTCTGTCACCGTATTATTATAGTAGTCCAGCGTGGAGCGAGGCAACGCTGTAATTCCCTCCGGCACCGACACAACCGATAGCTTCCGTTCCAAATCCTGTGAGGGTCGCTTGCGATGGAAGAGCTTCCGGAGTCCATCCGGCATCGAGAATTTCTTTACGCGACCCCCATTCTTCTTCAACTGCTCCTCCTGTTCACGTTCCTGCTCCAACTGGACCACGTGCGAGTCGCTGACGGCGCCATTAATTTGACGTTTGTAACGATTATTAAATGCCTCCTGGATCTGTTCGTTATCACCACTCCAGGTCCAATCATTGGGCGCTGATCGTCGTGGTGGTTGTATGTTGAAATCGGAGCAGGCTCGTCCACGCGGACGTCGGGGCGTCGTCGAGTACTCGTTGAGCGAGGAGAACGACCACTCGCTGGCAAGGATTTGCGAGTCCGACAACCCATGATAGCCACCATAGAGCGTCGGATCTTCAGCCTCCGGCGGCGGTGGTTGTACTGTCGCCAGTGCTGTCACCACCTTGGCCAGCAAATCCGTTGTCTGGCGATAGGCTTCCGCTGTTTCGAATGTTTTCTCGCGATCGAATTTGCTCAGTTCCGTATCGGAGTTGGCGTGCACCATCTGCTGGGCGGCTGCCAGATCGGCACAAATGGAGTAGGCACGTTTTCGACTGGGTATCGGAGCTGGTTCCACACGGTACATGCTCAGCTCTGGGCAGGAGGCGGACCGGGGCATCGTATACCCATATTCTGTATCGGTGTAGACGGGCTGATTGGTTTTTAAAATGGAAGCAATCGATGTATATCGCGTGTGCAGTTATCGTTATCGTTATCGTTATCGAGTGCGTGTGTGTTTATTGTTTTTTGTTGTTGTTGTGGTTGTTGTACATGTAAAGAAAACGCATGAAATGCATTGAATTAGTTTAAGTTGTTAACTGTTGTTTTTGCTGTTGTTGTTGTTGTGGTTCTTGTTGTTTTTTGTTGTTATTGCTTTGTATTATCCTGGTGCTTATCAATTTACTTACGCCTGCTCTTCTTCTGCCGCTTCTTAACCTTAATCTTCGAGCACTTTCTATTCTCCTTTCGAAAAAACTACAAAAAGAAAATTTGATCACTTATCGGGACCAGAGAGATTAATAGTTGCCCGCTTAGTCGAAACATTTAGTTAATATGTGTATCCCAAAATTATTGTTTGTTTTTTGTATTAAACTTAAATGTACACATAAATAAATACAAAAATGCTGTTTCTCACTATATTCGATCCGTATTAGTGCATACTGTTAGTTTGGATATTATTTATTCATAATTTCTGCTCACAACGCTTCTTTCAATAGGTGATCAAAAAGAATTATGCCTTTAAGAAGAATGTTTGAAGAATTTTTCGCTTTTTTTTTAATTATTTTAAGCATTATTCTATTGTTATTTCAGAACTTTAGTACGATTTTGTTATTTCATGATGTTTTATTACTGGAAGAACCACTTCAGGTGGGTAAATTCAACTCTTATTTGGGAATGCTCCATTTTTTTGGTTAAACAGATTATGTATTATGGTTATTGAATTAATAACTTTGGCATATTAAATATACGTATAAAGGCAGCCTAACTCAAATGTTATAAATACTATATACAAAGTAATATCACAAATAATATTCCCCACTCTAGATTATTATGGACTTTACGTTGCAATAGGCCCAAATATGATATGATTGTTGGCCATTACCTTCACTTTGAGTATGTAGAGCTTCGTTGAGAAGACGTCGCAGATAGCCAACATCTTTGGTAACACCCGTCCAGATGCGATTTTGGGTTGCCTTCAGATTCGATGACAGCTGCTGTTCCAGATGCGCCAGTCTCTTGCTCTGCAATCCTCTGTGTGTTTAGATGTTTATATGTATTTATGAGATGGAATTAGAAGAATATGTAAGTTTTAATTGCGGAAAGTATTAGGGCGACATGCTTTCATGCAAACAAAACACACCCAAAAATCATGCAATTAATTTCGAAAATTAAAGCTTACCGGGTGATAAATGTCATTATCATGACCAGATAGCCCAAGGAGAATATAAACCAGACAATGATAAAGATTTGATAAACCACAAACCAGCCGCCAAATTCACGAGGCTGTGCTCCATAACAAGAAAGCAAATGATTATTTAAAAGAAACGAAAAGTTAATAATGTTAATCACCTGATTGGGACCAAAGGTGGGTACAAAGTCACCGAAACCAATTGTCGACATCGTCACATAGCTGTAGTACAACGAAATAGAATAGTCCCAGCTCTCAAAGTAGGTAAACACCCAGGACGGCAGCAGTAGAAACAATGCGATGCCCGGTATCAGTGCTATAACCACTATGGTTATCAGACCCAACTGCGGTGGCACATAATGATCGTTCGAGGACATTTTGTGCTTTTTATATCGTCGATATATCGCACTGAACTGCGGGATGAAAGTTCAATTTCAGATTTTTATAGCTTTTAATAGGTATATTTTTTTCACCGAGATTTCAGTTTGTTCATTTTATTTTGACTTTTATAAGTCATTATAAATTTATTTAACTTGAATTTGATATATGATTTGGAATACTAATAGTTTAATATCTTTAATAAAATCAAACCAGAAAGGCAAGTGACGTAACAAACCTTGTGTGGCATATTTATCCTTAATGATTTCATTGAAGCATATAATAATTGAGAAAAAGGGGATTTTTACAATGTAAAAATATAGATTAATCTGTTTGCCAGCACACACTTTTAAGAAAATTTTAAAATACATTCGAAAAAAAAGTAATTTTGTGAAGAATTAAGAGAATTGAGAAGTGCCCATGTGTAATTCTAAAAAATACATACCGTACGTCCAAAATACTCTCCCAAGCCGGCAAAGAGTATACCATTGACCGGTATGCCGATTACTGAATAGACAATCATTATCATGCGACCCGCAAAAGTTGTTGGCGATATGTTGCCATAACCCACCGTTGAGCAGACGGTGAAGGCAAAGAAGAAGGAGTGATAGAATGTCCAGGTATACGGTATTTCATACTCATCCTGCGTATGATCTGTCACCGGCTTGCCACAGTAATCAGAGATCTTCTCCAGAATTTCATTCTGTGTGCTCGCATTCTTGTCCGACAACTCATCTATTAGATACTCTGCAACACAAGCCAAACAACAGTAAATTAGATATAGCAACGGTAAAAATAAAAAACAATCAACCTGAATAGAGAGATAAAAGCTCATTGAAGCGTAAAGTCAAATCAAATTTAATTAGTTCTATTACACGTGTTCCGGAAGCAAACCGATCGCATTACAAACGCCGTTTAACCTTCCGCTTTTCCGATTAACAACAAGCCATTAACGAAACCGTAAACTGTCAACGTGATGTGACGTGACACGATGGCTACATCCAGGGCGGAAAACATTGAGGGGACCTGACCCTGGCTCGAGCCATCTGATCAAGCGGACCGACAATTGTTGAACGTTGAACGTTGAACTGCAACCAATCGGATCTGCTGATCGCAATCAAGATCCGGTTACGTCTCTGATTAACATTCGCTCCACATTGTGTATCGTAACGAAAACTAGCCAGCCAGAAAACTCGTGCTGTGATATATATACATAGACATACATGTACAGCTCTTGAGATATGTTTTATGGAGCAGTATAAATGTCTAAAGAATATAGAGCCTATCGTTGTAGATCCTAAAAGATTGCCATGAGCTAATTTTAATCAGGCCTGTTTTCCTAACTAATAAATCAGATTATTTATGTTTGTAGATTTTTTAATATATATATGTGAATATGTAAATTGTATGTGAACTTCTTGTTAAATCTAACATTACTTTTGATAAGCACTTCAGTAACTAATGTCATTACAATGTATACAATAAACAATGCAAATTCAGCGTTTTATCTGACGATTAAGCTCCACTCACAATGTGATTGCTGACTTTGTAGTGTCTATAATTAAGTTTTGGCGTGCATCGTTCATTGAGATTAACAAGAAGTGCAATCATTCAATAAACCTTAAAGCATGGGCAATCAAGTGCAAAAATGAGAACGACAGTTTTTATTTAGCACTAATCTTTTAACGAATTGCATAATTCAATAAATGCTCAAGCGTCCGGAGCATCCCAAAAGGGGCCCCAAAGCGTCAGAGACCCGGCAGAGGAACTCAGCGGGTGAGTGTGGATAATGGGGGGTGGTGCGCAATTGCCGACAATTCCCATATTAAACGATCCCAGACTGCACTATATACAATGTGTGCATAGATCTAATCGTAATCTCTCCATTTGCTCTGACAACAACACTTGATAAACGGGACAACATAGAAATGATATTGTTATTGTTATTGTTGTTGTTGTTGTTCGTCTCCCCTGATTGTGATTTTGATTGCGGCAATTTGTTCATAGACGTCGATCATTAGCACAAATTCTTGTAAATCTTGAATCAAGTTAGCTATAGAGTATTTGCCGCTCTGGTCGTTAATTTGGTTTATCTAAAGTGTGCCGGAAATGTTTTGGGGCAAAACAAATTGATACGTTTATTTAATTATAATGTTAACCAGGCGTCTCAGCTCCAGCCCGAACCAAACTATAAATAAAAGAAAACGTGGAACAATTGAAAAATTAACCAACATCTTTTAAAGACAGCGATTGGTTAAGAGAGTTGAGTGTTGATTAAAAAGCTGAGCAGAAGCGATTTAGAGAAGTTCAACTGTTGGAATGGAAGGGAATGTAGCGAAAGAGAGTCATTAGATGGCTAGACAAGATGATCAAAGTAATTGTTGTTTTTGCCTGTTATCAGGGAGCGCTGTTTCGGTGATTACCAACAAATGTTATAATCACATGTTTGTCAGCGCACACAACACACACACACACACACAGAGTGTAGAATGTGGAAAATGATCTATAGTCATATGGTGTTATGAATGCACAATTGAAGTGCTTTTGAAGCCCAATAGATTAATATTGATATTGATTGGTATTTCGCAATAATATCACTACCTTAACAAGGCTCTATTTTGTGATAAGAGCGAGAAGGATTCAAAATTAAGACGTTGGGGTAAGACCTCCAAACACAAGGGCACTGTGTGTTAAGCTATCTAGTTGACCGGTTAAGTATCTCATAGCCGAGGGTATATCCCCATTTGAGCACGTTACTCATGAACACTGCTAACTAATTTAACCCAGAAAGTCATTCAACAGCGATTTTCTTTTATGTCATTTACACAACAAAACGAACTAGTACGACTTATGGAATCGGTTTTTGAGATTATCTCGATGCTTGTTTCCCTTTTGATTTGTTGGTGTTGAGCACACAGGCGCACATATCGTTTAGTACATATTTGTATGTTTATGTCTTGGTTTGTCGGTGTCTGATTTGAGCTTATAGTTTATTTATCTGTATAATTAGCACATTTGATGTGCTATTTAAATGTTCATTTTATTGCAATTATAGTGGAATAACCCTCAAAATAAATACGCTAAAGATTTATGCGATATGATATCCACAAACAGACAGACAGACGAATAGACGGACACGTACAGGTATGTAAATCACATTCGCCTTAATGCAATTAATCACAAAATCAGATTCTCACACTTGCTAACTCATAAAGCTCACATTTCTCGACATTTACGCACGTTTTGCAAAAGTGAAATAAAGCAACGTAAATATTGACGATGTCTCACATACCGACCTAAGTATGCTCTACACTATCGGGGCTAACCAAGTATATATAAATATCACATCAGACGAAATTTATGAACTGCAACAGACAATTTACAATTTGTAGTTTTTGTTTTTAAATTTCATCAATCAAAATTGTTGTGCTTTAATATTAATAAAATAAATGTACAAATTCTTATTAAAATTTTGCAAGTTGCTGGCTCTACTTTGAATGGTTGTTGACTGTATTCATACAGTTCAAGACTTAGTCCAAGAATCGTAACTAATTCAATCACAAAGTTGTGATAGCTCATTTAAAAGAAAAAGAGCAGCTGTAGACTATGATGTGCTGAGCTATCTTTAGTTCCAAGTTGGGGGCGGTTGGGTCTACGCAAGTAGCGTTAAAATCGTGGCAGACAGTTTAGTTGTGTGATATAACGTGCTCCCCATATAAAAAACTGTGGTTTCGTTTTATATTTTGCTCCTACAATAAATACATCATAAAAAGAACTCATATCTATGATATTTTAAGATGAATGGTTTATTAATATAAGGTGATAGATTTGTATTTTGATTGTTTTTCTTATGCCGGTTGCCGCTAGGGATCTTAGTTAGTGTTATAGATTTAGATTAAGGAATACCCACCATAGATTTCATTGCGTTCCTTGAGTTGTTCGGCGCGGGTCTCTCTCTCCTCGCCATGCTCGATATGATAGTAGATGGCGGCGCCAAATAACAAGTATGATATATAGAAGAGGAGCAAAAGTATCCAACGGTTTGGCGACATGCTCCTCCTGTCGCTTCCTTTGACACTAAGAAATAGGCTGCAAGCACACATAGCAAAGACACACAAAACGAACAAACAAACAAATGAGCCGGTTGATTTGTTTCGATTACCGCCGCAACACCTTGTAAATTGTTTGCTCACATTCGATTAGTTGAAACTGCAAGCACTTCAGAATCTTGACCGTTTTGTTATTGTTGTTCTCTATGGTTGTATCAACGTTAATCGGCGCTTGATTACGATTGCCCAACTGTCTTATATGTATATATATATATATATATATATATATGTTCATATGTATATATGTAGATACTCTTATGAAATTCTTTAGGGGCAGCAGTACGCTACGCACTAAGTCGTTAGTCTTATGGGCTCGTCGTCTCGGGTATTAACCAGTAAAGTCAGTCACGTTGTCTTCGGCCTTAGTATGGGACAGGTGAATCAGTGGGTCTTAGGCAATAAGTAACGGACTACTAGCTACTAGCATGGGTACCGTAATAAGTGCGGTAGTGCTCGAAGCATGTTACCCTAGATCATCTAACCATCAAAAAGATACATCTGCATGGGCATTACACACTAAAAAAAAAAACATGTGAACCATAATTTATTTTCTAAAGGTATTGTTCGAATTTAAGAATTCTTGTTGCATACAAATATTGGCAAAAATACAAATATAAACGCGTAAATAATCGAACATAAATGGGTTTAGTTCTCTTAAGTCTATCAGTCTTATTTCATTGCAAACATGATCGAAAAGTTATTGATTCTGTATATATAGTAATTCTCTTTATTGCTATTAACGTATATATCACATATGTTTCAATTCAAAGACATTTTCAATTCAATTCCATTTTCAATTAAAATCTATGTTTGTAACAGTGTACGGGAAGAAACCTGTGAATGTTTGCGCTGCTTTGGGTTATGGTTGCTTTATGATTATGATCAAGCACCAAAATTCATTGGGTCTAGCGACGTCATTATGGGCATTGCTCAGAATTTGGAGAGGCGACGTCATTTGAACGCACAGAGAAGCGCCAGTCGGCTTTACATATTGACACATCTAATCATATCGCCCAAGGCGTAAATGCCCGAGTATTGCCGCTAATTTGTACGTAGTACTTCTCTTCGGTGTTTCGGTTAACAAATGGTTACAGCAACACCAACAGCAACAACAACAGTAGAAAACAATTGTCATCTGACGATGGGCATGGCTTGTTATCTGCTTGGGATTAGGTTGCTTGGGTGACAAACGAAGGCAGCCTTCTTGGAAATGTACAGCGAACGGGTCTAATTAGCAGATGGATGGTAGCTAACTCTGCTTGGCCCCGGATCGGACGTCACTAATTCTCGCTTTGTTACTTTTACTTCGATTTGGGTTATTTTGTGAAATACTATTTTTATATGGGCGGCGATAATGATAATGGCCAAATATACTTCTTGCTAAACTATAAAGATAATTGCACCATCATTAAATCATGTTGAGGTAGTTCTGCTTAATATAATCTAAATCATAGTTCAGTTTTTTATTTTTTATTTGAACTCAGTCATAAATAATAAATAATTAAAGTCTGGTATTATAATATGAACCCATGTCTCATAACTGATCTTCCAGAAATGTATACAGTTGATCAGAGTTATGCATTTTTAAAGGGTTCAGGGTAACCCCACTTTAAAAAACTATAATTAAATTCTTAAGTACTATTTTTTTTTCCATAAATATCTGGTTGATATCATTATTCTGTGTGTGTGTGTGTGTGTTTATAAATAAAATTGCAGCTATTTACAACTTAACACTTAAGTATTACATGCGACATCTACAAAGTCAACAGTTTATGTTATTGTATTGTGCCCCATTGTTGTATTTGTTTCCAGCGAAGTCAAGTGTTTGGAACTGATAATATTTCAGTGAATACAATATCATTTCTTCAATTATAATTATCAATTTTATATTAGTGGAAGAGCGTTTTGAATGTTTTCTGAAATTATCTACGCGTCATGTTTGTGTTTGTTATTGTTGCTGTAGTTGTTTTTGGTTGAAAGTCAAAAGCCCACTGCGTATGGCCAACAAACTGGGCTAAGCATTTTTGTTAACAATAAAATAATAAAAATAAATAAACGATTATATTTTGCCATTTACTGGCTGCTTTTTTTGTTTCTGTGTATGACGCGACTTTGATTTGATTTGACTTTTTAATTTTATATATACAAATGTATGTCTAAGCAAATAAACCTTTTAATTACCCCTATTTGTTGCCATGCTTTGATTTTTTCTTTTTTTTGGGCTTGCCGCATTTTCTATGGAATGGAAAATTGTGCAAGCAATATTTAAAGTCTCGAAAACTAAGCATAAAAGAATATTACCAACACTTGTGATGGACAAATTTGTTTCGGCAATAAATGACAGCAAGTGGCCTCAATCGACCCAAGACGAATAGAATCAAAGATCAAATCTATGATCATGTAAATTAATTTACACAATATTTTATTTGTTAAGTGCGAAAAACAACAGAACATTTAATATAGCCATATAAAGATTACTAATTAATAGCCAACGTACATTGTAGAACAAAGCAATCGCTTCCCCATAAAAAAATGTAAACAAGATCAAGCTAAAACAATCAAACCGATCGTATCAAATGATTAGAGCTGTCTGACCTCAGTTTGCCAACCTACTTAAGTACAGTTTTTGACTAGAAACAAAAGATGTACGGTTATATTCGTACAGATTGCGAGTAAGGGTATCATATCGTTGGACTTATCTGTGTCGCCTGCAGCCAGACCCAAACTTGAACTCTATAAATGATATACAAATACACTGGTTGTAAGTCATAAATAGCTTTACTCTTTTGACAGCCCCTGTCGAGGTGTCCTGGATGAGTAGTAACTTGTATTCACTTACACCCAAATAACCCCACTTATTAGTTGTATTTACTTTATATATATATCTTTTTTTGTATATTGTGTAGAAAGAAATGAATGAATAAAAAAATATTTACATATACTGTACGCTAAACAGTCGCATAATCAATAATAAATAGCAACAAATTGCAAATGAACACGTTTAGTAAATAATCACGACGTTGCCAGTATGTCGAGAGAGTGTTTTGTTGTTATACCAAAGCATGTTCTCATGGCGTACCCAGTTGGCTTGGAAGAAAGATGTGACTAGCCCCCGAATCCGTGTAGAGGAATAAATGGCATGCATTGTACCACCGCTACTGGGAAGATACGTAATAATGCTAATTATGTTGACATTATGGAACAAACCATTTCACATGCATGATTAATTGCATTTCGATCTATCAATGTCTCGTTCTGAGTCGAGTGGAGTCGAGTCGAGTCGTGTCTTCTGCCTTCTGCCTTCTGTCTTCTCGCACATGTTGTTTGTCTTTTGCTTTCAGTGATAAGAAACAATCCAGCGACGCTTAACTTTTGATGCCGCCTGTCAGCTGACGTAGAGCCAGGTTACACGACAATTAATAACGCCAACTGACAACGACAATCGAATGTCGATAATATAGTACAGCGATCGACCTAAATATCTAATAAATGAGTCTGCTACTACAACATTATATATAGTATATATGTTTGTATCGCTGAAGGATTGCAACCCATTTATACATACATGTTCCTGGCAACATTTGTGACTAGCAACATTTCTGGCTGGCAACATTTCTGGCTGGCAACACTTGTGGTTGGCAACATTTGTGGCTGGCAATATTTATGGCTAGCAACATGATAGATGGCAACAGCAGCAGGTGACAAACTAATGCGCCAAAAAACAGGCGATAAGACGAAAAGTTAAAGTAACTAATTTAAATTATGTAAATATTCGAATTTCTGAAAAGTAAATTGTGAAATATATTTATTAGAATATGACAGTTGAACATCTCTGATTTAAATATATACTATAAGAACTAATCTTAAATAATATAAATGTCAGCGTAACCACTTGACTTTAAAATTTAGCTAAACTTTTGACTTGATGTTACGTCAAGTAATCTTGATTTGCATTATTAGCACGTTTCATTTCCTGACAAGTTCGATTTTTTTTCTTTATTTTCTTTTAACAATCTTAACGATCTTTAAAGTGGAACTGTGCTCTAGTTCAGACAGCACGTCTATGTGCAGCTTGAATGTATTATATACCTGCATTTATATATATATATATATATGCATCTATATACATATGTATATAGCTGTAATCAATCTGCTGAGGCCTTTAGCCTCCGTAGACTCATACATTCTATACATCGACTGATATTTTGTGAATGAAGAATGCGCTTAATTAGCAGAATTGTTGTATTATAATGGAATTGTCCAGACTATACACTTTCGTTTCGATTGTGAGGGAACAATACGTAATTGTAGTCTAAGCGCGAGGATCTTTAAAAAGACAATTATCAAAATAAATAAAAATAATTTGTTGACATTAAGTTCTTTAGAAATTATAAAAGACAAAATGTATTGAACTATTAATTTTGTTTTACACATTTATTGTTGCATTTATAGAATCTTAAGAGTTTCTTGAGGCCATTTATTTTTCGAGATGCATAAAAATATATTTAATTATATATTTATAGTTTAAAAAAAATGCCAAGCCGCATAATTTTAGTATGGTTTGTTTTCCACTTGGAAGTCAGCTTGAAGGATAAGAAATTTTAGCAATTTTAGAAAGAAATATTGATAACACATAGTCTGTCAATAACCAATTTCAAAATGATATCCTTAAGCATTAACTTTCCTTATTGATCCACGTTATTATTCGCTCTGATTGTGGTTTTTTCTTGGGACAGCAATATCAAAATCGCAAATATCTACAAATGTAAGTCTATATACTTTTGTATATACATATACATAAATACATACGTATGTATGTATGCGATCTGGAGCGGTTCCTCTGATAAGCCGGTGAAAGTGACCATAAACACAGGCAGACTTAATCTTATACTTATATAAGTAAGTAATGATGATAATACACCTACATACATATATAATTTCGACACTCGTATCGGTCAACAAGGGAGGAATCCAATAGATCTTGCTTATGCGCATGTTTATGTATTTGCGTAATTATGCCTTTACTGCAGTACTGGATCACAGTTCGGTAGCCTCACCATAAATCTGATAGTGAAGCGTTTAACAATAATAATAATAATAATAATAATAATCGTTCACTGGATGTGAATTATTATTTTTTTTTTTTTCTTTTGTGTATTATCAGCACAGGTAAGAAGTCTAACGAAAAT